ACTGCTCGTTCTGGCCCGTGGTGTCGACACGATTATCGCCATTGATGCGGTGAGTAGCTTGGCTGCATCTGACATCGACATTATGTCCTGAAAGGCTCTTTCCCCAGCCTGCGGACACCTCAGACAACTTCGCTGCAGGCCTCGACCTCATCGTGAGTGCTTCCGGCGCCCTCAGACCTCTGATGTAGCATCTCACCTTCGTATGCGCTCGAAGTCGACGCAAGCGCGAGTCCAGCTCTTCCCAGGAACGTACTTCTTCCCGCCCGTGCCGAACACCACGGACGTCTACCTCTCCCAAAATCTAACGCGTCGCCCGACGTTCTTCGGATGCAACAGCTCTGCGGCAAGCGACGAGCCTTTCGTCATATACATCGCGAACGGCGGACCGCCCCTCGGGCAAGCCCCGGTGACCAACACGCCCACGTTCCAGCTGGAGTACTCGAACGGCGAACTCGGGGCGATGTTGGACCAGACGTTCGATATCGCCACCCAGGGCATTCCCTCTGAAACGCCCAGAGGGCCAGAGAAGGATCCCGACTGGCCTGCGTGTCTTGCGTGTGCCATCACGGACCGTGCTAGGCGCACGATTGTCGCGTCGAGGAGTGGGATCTGTGAGACCTGCATGGCGAGGTATTGTTGGAGTTGAACATCTGGTACTCGCACGTACGGCTTGCGGCATTTCATGGTAGCGGCGGCCTTCGGTGACGATCGCCTTCCATCCCAGAAGCGAAAATTACCTGTGGATGGTCAGTCCAGGAAGTTGTCCAGAGTAGATCGAGGCTTCTTCGAGCCAAAAAAGTACATGTTCCATGTATGTGGAAGGGGTCCCGACTTGGCTCTCGCGCCAACACGGTGGTGGCCCGCGTTGGGATCATATACTCTGTTGTTATGGAATAGATAGATCATAACGGGTTGCCCGCAAGGGTGAGCGTATACTCACCTTTGCATGTTCGTAGACTGCCTCGGTCGTGCTCACTCGAACGATACAATCCCACACATCACGGAGCACTCCGTTGCCGAGGCGCCCCACTCGACTCGCTTGAATGTATCGCTATGACCAGTGGGCCGCTATTCGACAACCTCTCCTACGTGTCCAATATGACCCCTTGTATCATAAGCACTTCTCCCACATCTCCGAGGTCACCTCCACCAAAGACGGTGCCTTGTGCCGCGTACGATCCTCCTTGCTCCAAGCCAGGTAAGCATGAGTATCGCTGACGCAGATGGCCAGCGCAATCGGCTCCAATATCGCCAGGAGGTGGGCCCGGTAGGTCCGCATCACGATCTTGAACCGTTTGGTGTCCGTGGAACTTGCTCCTCTCCAGGCTGGAGCCCACATCAGTGTTCTCAACGCTGGGACACCAGCGGAGGCGTGCATGTGGAGCGGAGAGTTATCCGCAACGAGGTCGGTTGAGTCGAGTCCGGTATCTTCCTACAGCGTTGAGGAGGTCAACACGAAATTCACTCGCTAGACTGAAGGACACGTACCATAGTCGCACGATCCCATAATTCCAGATGCTCTAACCTTGGTGCCAAGAGGGCATCGCACACCCTCGCGGGAGACTGCCAGCTGTAGGAGTGCCTGTTGTGAAAGGCGCGGACAAGGCGAAGCTTCTCCAGAGTCTGTCCAAATGTGCGGGATATCTCGGTGAGGACAGCGGCGTCAAGAGGGTAGACCATGTCGACGGCAAGGCACGTCAAACTGGGAACCGGACTGCGGAGACGCCGGACGAGTGTCGCTGTTGTGGTGAGGGAGGAGAGAGATTGCAGGTGATCCAAGGGTATTTGTCTTGTAACAGGCACGGAGATGGCTGCGTTACCCTCAAGGTCGGACACGGGAATGTCTACCGAGAGGTGCCTCACGTTAGGAACGCGAGACAGGACCCAATTCAAGTCGCTACGCGTCCGAGGGAGCGATGCAGTGGTCATCCACGAGATGGTGAGCACGCGCAACCTCTCAGCTCTGGTCCTGCCAAGCCTGTCCACCTTTACGCTCGATAGACCCCTGCAGAGCGACGCGAGGCCAGCTGGGGAGCGGACAGCCACTTCGTGGTAGCGGAAGTCCTCGAGGAACTCCGCCATGAATCGACACGTCCGGCTGAGGCTTGCCATATCCCTCGCGCTATCAATTTGGCTGCACGCCGTCTGCTTAAGCTCTGTAGGAATGGCGAAGATCCCGCAGCATGGTTGGCTTGGGCGACAAGTGGGCAGCGGCAACAAGTCCAAGGAGGTAAACGGGGATGGGCAGTTATGTACCGTCATTGTCTTGGCGGATTTCCAACGCTAAAGTATTGCATCTCGTGTCAAGAGGATCTCTGACACGCAAGCAAAGCAACATACCTTGTAATCGCGGAGTAATTCCGCGATGGCGTTATTCGCGTCAACGGCCTCCCCTTCGAATTGTTCTTGCTCGTTCATGTGGGTTTGCTGACATTGACCGGTGTGTGTAAGCAGAGGATCTGCTGCGTTTTTCTGGAGTGACAGATATACGGTGGGCCGTGGTTGGGTAGGATGCGGGAAGGAAAGGAGATCAGACCGCGCAAAGGCGGGGCGGCGACCTCGCCGGGGAATGCCGACCGGTCACAACACGTGTAGTTCCTCCCCTCTTGGTCTCCGCCCTCAATCAAAGTGCCAGATATCCGCCGCTCCCATCTGCGGATATCCTGGTATTTGAAGTCGCGTCGGATAAGTAGTTGCGCGCGACGCGTCGAGGACGCCACAGTAACGTGATCGCGTTAACCACGGGCAAACAGGCGTTTGATTGAGATGCTAGGAGATAAGGAATTCGATTAGATAACGACGACTGGCGCGACTGGCAAAGGCTCAACCTGGGGCCGTGAGTGTCTAAGTACATACTACCTTGGACGTCGCATAGATCAATCACTTACAGGCCACGGTCCACTGTATACCTTATCTGACTGGAAGGAGGCTACAGCTTCTCGTAATTTTTTCAGCGACGCCATTGAGGACGTACGGACGTTCGCGATCTAAGCGGAGAGCTACATCGTCCAGCCTTGTTCGTGCGCATTCCACTGGCACATAGAATCCGCATGGCCCCAAATCCATCTCTGCATAGAGCTCGTATCGACTGAGAAAGCGTCACGCAAGTTAGCCTTGAGCGCTAGGAGCGGGTATAGGGGGAGGACGTTCTGTATGATTGGAGAGTGTCACGTACTGTTGGCCAATGTTTACGTTGCCCCGTTTCGACCGAACGCAAATTTTAGAGCAGTTTAAACCTTCGAGCGGAGAGGCTGGAGGTCGAATTCTAAGAAACGAAAACTACTCGGACAACATCTTGGAATGATTAGAGCAGCGCAAGTTGTAAGGTGAGTCTGCCAGTTGGCTTGTAACCGGAGAGCAAGTCGGGCCACAAAACATCGTAACTCGTGCAAAAAGAAACACCGTCTCATAAATCAGTGAGCAAAGATGCCCTAGCGTTGCTGTCTCGAGATGCCGATGCGAGGGAGAGCACAGGCGCTAGAACAATGCATGCATCGGGTTGGGGGCCGCGTGTGCAAGCCGCACTGCCTTCTTCCCCAGGTTCCCTTCTCTCCCTCAGCTCAGTACAATCGCTGCACGTTCTGCTTATGTACAGCAAAGAGCGTATTGATACGGAAAACGCGTTTTGCACGAGACCGGCGCTCCCAAAGACGCCGGAGAATCACGGGATCCAGACGCTGTACTCAGGTTATTTGGGATTAAGTAAGTAAGTGTGACTTCGCAGTGACGCACATCCCTGGAGATGGACGGCTGATTTATTCATCCCAAATCACTTATATTCCATCTGTAAATGCTTCATAGGCTTCAACAGTGCTTGACATGCACATCTTTGCTCAACAGTTTGTTCTCTCAGACAGGTCCAAGCTGCCCAGGAAGGATACTGTGACGAGGTGACCGTCTGGTTTCCGCACGGCAGGGAACAGTCCGTCGTTTTTCAATGAATTTTATCCAGAAACGCCACATATTCACAGATTGTTTGCCTCGCGCGTCCCTTTTCAGAGACTTTTCTCCAGCTGGAAATATCCGATTCCCTACCGTGCCGGCTATCTCGGGCCGGTCCCCGCGTTTGGGTGCAAGAGCGCCTGACTCGGACGCTGGCTCTCGCAAAACGCGTTTTCCGTATCAATACGCTCTTTGCTGTAAACCAAGTCCGTCGTCCGTTGTTTGACCAGATGTCAAGGTGATTCTGACAGAGCTTTGGACTTTCATTTGTGAAGTTACTGTCCTCTTGAATGACTACTCAATGGTGGCAGGAGTGCGACATGTAGCAAGAAACGTCGATGCAGATGCGGACCGGGAAGGTTCTCGGCAGACATAATTGAGGGATGTTGGCAGGCACCGCTGCCAGCGTGGCTGCTGGCATGGCTGCTGTACAACCATCTCTTCTTGTGGTCGGTTCGGACGCTGGCGAAGGAGTTCTACATGTCCTGCTTGCTGTTCAAACAATCACTCTCGTGAGATGAGTGTCCTTTTCTTCATATATAGGGTCAGAAGACCGTCCGCCCTCAGGTAGACGTCATTCGCGGTGTTGAGGGGTGAGCTGAAACCCGCTGGGACCTGGGAGCTGTGCTAAAGGCTGACCATGAGTACTTAATCTGCAGCGCCCTTTGTAGCGGTTGATCGGATCAATTCAGCCATCCCCTTTATGTTAAGGCCGACAAGCTACCGGGAAAATGCTTCAACCCTGTCCAAGTCGAACGTACGAAGTCCTTGAAGCCCTTGAAGCCTGACTTTCAGAGCGTGGAGATGAGGTCTAGACGACGATCAGTCCATGTCAGCCCGGCACGTCCTCCTGCGCAGTGCGAACTGTCGTGGCGAGGAAACGCATGGGACAGGCTGATGCGTGGGTGGCTCTTCTTACCACAATATAACATCCTATTATATCCATCAATCCGCGTGGACAGAACGCGTTTCCACCGCTGTCCAAATCCGCCGATGAAAGCCAATCAGCAGCGACCCCCGAAACCTCGTCGGATGCGTGACACAAGATCGGGAACGCAGGTACGCACGCGATGTCGTTCCTGTCTATGTATGAGAACGATCAACTTTGACTACCATCTGCAGCCGGTATATATTGTCCGCATCGCACCTTGAGCTTGAGTGCCATCCTTCGCGCGTTCGGCCCAGCAGCCCCAGCCATCACGCTCCCAGGTAGCCCCAAGCGAGATATCTGCTGTGCCAACCATGCGGGCGATCTCCATCTCTCTCGCGCTTTATCTCACTACTGTCTCTCTTGGCTTAGGAGCCGCCGCACAATCAGCCGCCGCGGTCGCGTACGCACCCACCGAGCAGGCCTGTCCCGCTGGTACTTCTCTTGTCCGCCAAGTCGGCTCCAACGCGCAGAGGCAAACTCTTAGCGCGGGCGAGGCTGCGTATGTATCTGCAAAACAAAAGGTCGTGGCAGAGGCGTGGAAGAAGTACCTGGCCAACGTCCGAAGTCACGGCAAGGCCGCGCTCCCACCCTATGTCGACGAACTTCTTCTGGGCCAACGGGGACACGGCGCGTTGCCCAAGCTCGGTATCGCGACGAGCGGTGGAGGGTACCGAGCGGCCATCTTCGGTGCGGGAATAATGAACGCGCTGGACGGCCGCAACCAGACGTCCGTCAAGGCGGGTACGGGAGGCATCCTGCAGACCGCGACGTACCTCTCCGGGCTGTCGGGCGGTGCCTGGCTCGTGTCCTCGCTCGCGCAGGCGGACTTCCCCATGCTCCCAGAGCTAATCTTCGGGCCGTCGCCCGCCTCCGCCAACAACGGGTGGCTCGCCGACATCGACTTGCTGACCCCCGGGGGCACGAACGTGACCGCTGACAATGCGTACATCGCGGAACTTCTCTCAGAGGTGTCGCTCAAGTTTTCAAAGGGCTTCCCGGTGACGGTGACGGACGTGTGGGCGCGCGCGCTCTCCAGGCACTTCGCGAACGGGACGACTGCGGCGAACTTCTTCGAAAACAGCCTCACGCATGGGGCTGGGATCACCTTCTCGTCGATCACGAACGTGTGCGTAGTGCCCATTTACATAGCCCAATCTATTCTTGGCCTCGCGCTTCGCGCAGGATGCGGAGGTGGATGTTTCATGGACTGCATGCTAATCAAGGACTTTGTTGCATAGGCCCTCATTCGCGAACCACGAACAACCCTTCCTAATCGTTGTCGCCGACTCGCTCGTCAGCCGTAACAATGGCTCCGCCGTGACAGAGGCGGGGGACATCGTTCCCTTGACTAATCCTATTTACGAGTTCAATGCGTGTGAGTAGATGAACGCACCACTTACATTGTGCGCATGGGCTCACCTAAGTCCCTTAATCTAGACGAGACGGGGACATTTGATCCCCAGTTGGGAGCATTCACTCCCACCAAGTTCCTTGGCTCGCCGCCGAAGAGCAGTGGGGTGTGTGTGACTGGCTTTGATCAACTTACCTTCCTAGAGGGCGTTTCTTCTAACTTATTCAATGAATTTAACACTTCGGTGAGGTACTTTCAGTCTGAGTGCCAAATCGCCTACTCAACCCGTTGAACATCGTACAATGGAACTGCAGGCAGCAGCCCTAAATGCATCCATGATTGGCCCCATCATCAATGCTCTTCACAACGCGTTCCCGGAGACGGGCATCCGCCTCGACTCCGCGGAGATTCCGAATCCCTTCTTTGGCATATCGCCGGCTACTTTCCCCGACTCCGACCAGAACATACTGACTCTGGTCGATGGAGGGGAAGATGGCGAGACGGACCCATTGCAGCCACTACTCGTGAAGGCGCGTGGCGTCGACACGATCATTGCCATCGACGCTGTATGTAACTTGGTCGGTTCCAACGTGGGCGTTTCATCCTGACATTGTATTTTGTTTTCTAATAGCCCGCGGACACGAGTGATAACTTCGCTGCAGGCCTCGACCTGATCGTGAGTCGTTCAGCTTCCTATGCCGGACGCCTTGGTACAGTGTCTCACCGTTTTGTGCTACAGTCGACGCAAGCGCGAGTGAAGCTCTTCCCCGGAACGTACGCCTTCCCGCCCGTGCCCAGCACCACGGAAGTCTACCTCTCGCAGAACCTTACGCGTCGCCCGACATTCTTCGGATGCAACAGCTCTGCTGCAAGTGGAGAGCCCCTCGTTGTATACATCGCTAATGGCGGCCCACCGCTCGGCCAAGCTCCACTGACGAACACGTCCACGCTACAGCTTCAGTACTCGAACAGCGAGATTGAGGGGATGTTGAACCAGCTCTTCGATATCGCCACTCAGGGAATCCCCGCAGAGACTCCAAAAGGTCTTGAGAAGGATCCTGTTTGGCCTGCTTGCCTTGCGTGTGCGGTCACTGATCGCTCTAGACGCTCAGTAGGCGTAGCGAGGAGTGGGATCTGTGAGAGCTGCTTCGCTAGGTACTGTTGGAGTTGAGCATGTAGCCTGTGCAGCTTGCGATAGTATTCAGTACCAGTCATAGTGCCGGAGTGAAGCGAGTGGACGACTCCGTTTATGGGATGATCAGCTTCGGATCTCGGACAGGCACGACGTCCGGATGATCATGATCAGGTAGAGTCACGCAGTAATAGGCCGCGAGCATGATGGCTTCCGACGCGATCAAGCGTCGCGCCACTACAGTGCTTGCTCGTGTTAGGATCAGAAGCCCTTGGTAAACAGATACAAATACCGAACACGTTGTTTCTGCGTGGACAGCAACATAACAGCGCAATCTGCAGCGGAAATTTTGATGGCGAGGAATCGTAGCAGTTTCAATCGATTCCAAACGGCTCTGCCTGCAGCTGGGTAGGATAGTCAAAGAACTCGAAGTGAGAGAAGCGTCCAATACAAACCATAACCCTAGGTGTGGCCTGTTACCATTTACGGAAACGGCAAGTGGCCACGGGTTCGGGTCTATAACGGACTTGACAACTTGGACTTTGTCGGGACACCCAACTTGCCCACCTCCTCATCTTTCACCCACTACGACGGACGTTAGGTCCACCGGTTTGGTACACGTCATGGCTTCCTTCTTGTCGAAGGTGTTCCCCCGCAAGAAGGACAAGGAGACGTCAAACAAACGTAACTCGGTCTCGTCACTGCTCGAGGGCAAGTTTGAGGCGGTTTCCCCCACGATCTCTCCATCCGCGGCACACTTCGCGGATTTAGCACAGCGGCCGAAGGAGCGAGGGAGAGAGAAGGAGAAAGAGAAGGAGAAAGACAGTGCGTTCTCGCTGTTCAAGACCAAATCGCGTCCCGTCTCTCCCCCGCCAGACACGCGCAAATCCGTGCCAGATGCACCCCACCTCACCCTTAATCTACCCGTACCGAAGGAGGAGCGTAGCCGCGCGCTCGGTGTCGTGTTTGAGGCAGATCCGAACGACACGAGCACGCTACCCGACAATGTGATCGGCGAGAGGCGTTTGACACCCCTCGAGACTCTGCTGCTTGTCAAGGCATGTTCCCAGGCCATCGTTGACAATGGAGGTGCGTGAACACATCTTTGACTTCATGGTCCTTATGATGACACGGCGATCGTGTGCGTTGTGCGCGTGTAGGCCTCGAGACCCTTGGTGTCATGCACCCCTTCTGGTATTCAGCTTCTCCCGAGGTGCAGCGTAAGCTCATCTCGCTATTCATACTATCCTTGGCTCCCAAAAGCCCGATAACCACGCTCTCTCCGTCTCCTTCCTCTGCCGCCGTCAACTTCAACACCGAGCTGGAGTACACCCGATCTCCCCATGACATCGCCGCCGTGCTCCGCTGGGCTTTGCGCCACTTACGCCTCGAAGGGGAATCGTTCGGTCGCGCTGCCGGACAATGGGATTGGTATCGAACATTCGCGGAGGCAGAGCGCGCTTCTGCATACCCTCCGACCGCGTTCACCGATGTGTTGGTTCCTCAGATTTCCCCATCACATCACCAACTGCTCGTTGCCACGCTCGACATTGTTTCTTCGCTCGCGTCGCATGCTGAACGCAACAGTATATCGGGCAGCAAGCTTTCCAAGTTCCTTGGCCTCTGGCTCCTGACGGCTAAGAGGAGCGAGGAAGGGGAAGACTGGAATAGCTTCTATACGCGCTGGGAACGCGCCGGTCGTATTCTTGAACACCTTTTCCTGGCTCATATTCGGTACGTCCAATGTTGCGCGTTTGCATTGTCGCCTACTCATGTTGTCGCAGAGACGAAACGGTGCGGAAGAAGATGCCGCTTCGACTCACTGAGCTCGTGAAAGGCTACCCGTATCATAGCAGAAGCGCATCTGCAGACACGACGCCCGCAGCCGACGATGATCTGTTGCCGCGCCCACGTTTCTCCACACGTCGATACAGTGCGCTGTACGTGCGCGTGGAGACCGAGCTCGCGGATGGGAAGGCTGCCAAACCCAAGCCCCATCCGCTCCGACTCATCTCTGATGCCCTCAAGTCCGAGGTCGAACTCACGGATGGGCAGTATCAGAGTATTTGGGAGGCGATACGTGCCGCTGCTCTAGCGTCCGATGAACCAGACCCGATCCTCGCTACTGTCGACGGCTACCCTTCACTTTCGCGCATTTTTGCCGACGAGACTACCCGTCTGTTATCCTTTGTGCCTGCTGAGTCCGGTATCGCATCTACTTCTGTACCGACGATCCGCCTCCCTCGTCCTCCCCGCAGACGCTCGAGCTTTTCGAACACGCCTACGCAGCCACAGGCGAATGGCAACGGTAATGGCAAAGCAGAAACGAATGGCAGCGCGCAACGCTCCGCTGTCTCACCCACGACGTCGCCCACTTCACCCAGCTCTCCCAAGGACTGGACGGACTTCTCGGCAGCAGGTTTCGGCGAGAGCGCACTGGGCAAGGACTTTGCCAAGACGCTGCTGGACAAGGATGTCGAGGTGACAGACCCGCCTCCCGTGGAGCGCAAGACGAGCAAGAGGCGTCGGCCTTCCTCCCGGCGGTCCTCCGTCGACAACCCATCCGCCGAGTCGGCAGCCCGGGCGGCGGAGCTCGCCTCGCCAACTTCCAAGCCGCCGAAGTCGAAGTCGACGATCGTCAACGTGGTGAAGCTCGACGAGGCGTTCGTCGACTTCTGGAGCGACGCGCTCCTGGACCCAATCGCGTCGGACTGGCCGAACTTCGTTGTCGCGCAGCTCAAGAACGGTATCACAGGAGTGGAGGCCGACGGACAGCCTGTCGGGTGGCTCGTCCTCGAGCAGCGCTTCGTCTCGCCGCCGCCGCCGCCGCAGACGGCGACTGAAGAAGCGGCTGCGTCGCCCTCCGCTGGACCGCGCCGCGCGTCGTCCCCGCGCCCGTCCATCCGCTCGGACCTTTCGGCGAGGAAGAGCTCCACGTTCTCGGCGGCGAAGAAGCGGCTGACGTTCTTCGCGTCCGCGAGCCAGACTATCACTGGGGCGACTGCGAAGTCTGAGGTGAAGGCTGCCGCGAAGAAGAAGGCGGTGAAGGGGTCGAAGGTTGGGGAACTAGGTGAGATCCTGCCTGAAGTTGAGGAGAAGCCCGAGGAGAAGGTCGCAGAGAAGGAGAAGGAGGAGCCCAAGAAGGACGCTGAGCCTGCTCCTGCTCCTACTCCTACTCCTGCCCCTGCGTCTGCCTCTCCAGAAGCGCATCCCGTCCCTCCGACCCCAGGCACTGAAGAGTCGAAGTTCGTGGAGAACATCACGCCCACGGAGGCGGTCAAGCCCCCTGAAGAGCCCAAGGCCGAGCCTGCACAGGAACAAACGATCACTGTGCCCGCCGCTGAAGCTCCTGAGGCGTCTTCCCCGACGGAGGTGTTGTCCCCGCTCACCCCTACCGCCGAAGACTTCCCGGCTGTTCCTGTCGTCGGTGGCCTCCTCGCCTCCGCCGCTGCGACCACCCCAGTAGCCGTCGAGGCGCTCAAGACCGAGGATGCCACGCTCGAGGATAAGCCTGTCGTCACCGTCGAGCAGGAGCCCGAGATCCCTACAGACTCCGCAGCCCCGACCCCTGAGAAGACGCTCCCGCCTGCCCCCGAGCCCGTCGTCCTCACTGGAGAAACTCCAGGTCCCCAAGTCGCGCTGGAGACGAGCGAGCCTGCGGCGCTCGCGGAGATCTCGCAGAAGATCGACGCCATCGTGGAAGAGGCTGCTTCTGAGCCTGAGACCGAGAGCGCGGAGCCAGTCTCTGCGGCTGCTGCTGAGGACCCCACGACGGAGGTTGTTCAGCACCCTGTCCAGGTTGAGGAACTCGTGTCTGACGCGGAGGCTCCTGCTGCGGCAGAGCCTGCCCCTGTTGAGCCCGAAACCGAGCCCGAGGCTCCTGCTGCGGAACCTGAGGCCGTCGTGGAGGCTCCTGTCGCTGCGGAACAGCCTCTCGCTGAAGCACCTGCACCTGCTGAGGCGCCTGTCATCGAGGCGCCTGCTGCTGCCGAAGAGTCCGTGGTAGGGGCCCCCGCTCCTGTTGAAGAATCTGTTGTCGAGGCGCCTGCTACGGTTGAGGAATCAACAGCGGAGGAGCCCATCGCTGTCGAAGAGCCCGCTGCAGAACCCGAACCGCTTGCCCCGGTCGAGCCCAAGGCTGCTCCTGTTGAGGCTGAACCCGCTGCTCCCGAGGGAGCCTCTGCGCCTGTCGTCGAGGAAATCGCTGATTCTGCTGAGGAGACCGCTCCAGCAGCCGAAGAGTCCGTCGCTGTTGTGGAGGAGGTTCCTGCTCCTGAACCTAAACCCGAGACCGCGCCTGTCGCCGAGGAAGCTCCTTCTGCTGAGCCAGAGCCGGAGGCAGCCCCAATCGTAGAGGAGCCTGCTGTTGAGGAAGCCCCTGCAGGTACGTTGAAACATGACATTTGTCTCACTGCCTACCTCATTCGTATGTCTCAGCAGAGCCTGCTCCCGTCGAAGAGGCTACACCTGAAGCTCCTACCCAGCCTGAACCCGAGGAACCCGCGCCTGTAGAGGAGACTCCTGTCGCTGAGCCTGAGGCGCTTGCGGAAGAGCCTGCTGCACCTGTTGGGGAAGTCCCCGCTGCAGTCACGGAGGAGGTTCCCGCCGCCGTTGAACCTGTACCTGCCGAGGCGCCTGTTACACAGGAAGCTGCCGCACCCGCTGTCGAACAGCCCGCCGTCGAGGAGCCGACACCTGCTGTAGAAGAGACTTCTGCCCCAGTCGCCGAGGAGGAGGCTCTCGTCCCCGAGCCGACACCAGAGCCAGCACCTGAGGACTCAGTCCCAGCTCCGGTCGATGAGCCCGCACTCGTGGACGAGTCTGCCCCCCTTCCAATTGGGGAGCCTGTTGCACCCGCGGAGGCTCCTGGTGAGTAACACGCCGTTTCCTGTGTCACTGTGTCCAGTCTGATGAACTGCATGACAGTTGAAGAGAGCACTACTCCTGTTGAGGATATCCAAGCCGACGCCGCCGCTCCCGAAGAGCCTGCGGCGTCTACCGAAGCCGCCCCAGAGGCTGCTCCTGAGCCGCAAGTCGAAGAGCCTGTTGCCGGAGAGGCGCATGAGAACGGCCCTGCAGCTGAGACTCCCGAAAATGAGGAAAAGTCTGCCGCTGCTGAAGGTACGTGTCTCCCAGCTGACCTTCATTTGCATCCTGATCATTTTTGGGACTGTAGGGAGTCAGTAGGCGTTGCTTATATACCTAATGGTTTGCCGCGCGTGGAAGCATAGACGTGTTGTGCGGATTGCTTTGCGTTATCGGATGATACCCCATGTCATTGTCACGGTCTCCCCTCAAGTCCCAGTTCCGAGTTACTCGGACGGCCATTCCTTCTTTATCGTAATATGCTATCCCCTCCGCCTGTGTTGTCGATCTACATAGTTGTCTCGTGAGTTAGTTGCAGTAATGGTTGGTGGACAGTGTTACATATGCTTGGCCCGGTCGATGTTCCGTAGTCCCCTTGCTTCATCGCTAGCTTACACGTCTTGCAAATTGTCCCCGCTCTGTCTGACGGTCGACACTGAATACATCACGTTCGTTCGTACACTAGTCCTGATGTCGGTGGTTCAGCCTCATCTCGACTTGAATGGCCCACGTTTTTGAAATGTGGCGTTTCATTTGACAGCTAGCATGTCAGGCTGTGCAACACCCCGTGTTCACCGGCTTTTGTGTTTCAACACCTGCATATCGATCTGGCTCATGCTCCCCGCACAAGGCCTCCAAAGAGCCCAAAGACATGCGAAGTGGTGCTATTGTACGCAAGGCGAAGTCGGCGCACGACGAGGACGAGGATGGGCGAGGCGCGGACGCCTCCAGAAACGGGGGAGTCACGCTCACCGCGCCCCTTCCGGGTTCATTGCCATTGCCAATCTGTCAAGCCACTAGCGCTGTCGGCTGCCCCTTGTATCCCTCATGTATACCCTGATACAGCGCCTCGCCCCGCCGGACCATTTCTCTCACTACCGTCTCCTGTTGCCCGAACCCTGCCCACTCTCGCAACGGGCGTAGAGCGGAATGTCAGGATACGATGAGCGACTCCTCGCGAGTGCGCCGGTCGCCACACGGGCAGAGAAACAGGTGCGTTTCCTTCATTAACATGACCTTGGCATTGTCATTCTCTCCATGCGTATCGCGTGTACACTTTCGCATGCCTGCCAGCCTGTTCGTGCACGGCGGGGTGAGAAGAGGTAAGAGTGGGCGGAACGGCTGCGAAGGCTGCGCATCGAGCGGATGAGGGTCACCCTGCGGGCGCAAGCTGACGCGTCGATGCTCTTGTGCAGGAAGGATACAACATCGATCTACTAGAAGACAGCCGGACTCGCCCGGGTGCCCGCTCGGCCTCCGCAACACCACCCCCACCACCTGTCGCCCATTCCAGCGACCACTCGAAGGCAGAGGCGGGAGGCTACGCTGGCTCCGCGCAGAACGGGTACGCACCCGCGACCCGCACGCCATGGTACAAGACCCGCAAGTGGCTCATCTTCTTCTTCATCGGCGCGATCGTCGTAGTCGCGGCCGTCGTCGGGGGAGCGGTGGGAGGCACAGTCGGATCGCACAAGAAATCCACAGACGCGGCGGTGAAGGGCGGAGGGGACTCGAGTGGCCCTGGCGGAGCGTCACATAGTTCGGAATCCGCGGCGTCGAACACGGCAGCGGGGGGAGGACAGGCGGCGGCCCCTACGTCTGCGAGCTCGGACGGAACGCCTGCTTCGACGACTGCTACCGCTCAAACTACGTCGAGCGGCGCCGGCGGCGGAAGCCAGTGAGCGCGCGGTCGGTTGGTCGGTCTATGGGATACCTTGATTGGTGCGTGCTCGATTGCAGCTGGTGCAGACTGTCCTGCGCCATTCTGAATGACCGCTCCTGCAGTTGCTCCCTTGCGAAAGATCTCCATGTGTATTTTTCGTCAAGACGGTACTGGATTTATTGTCGATCTCTCTGTACGCTAAGATATGCTACAACTATTGAGTTCGTTCTTTCGCTCTCTGTACTCCGCCGATGCCCGAGACGCTTTCCCGACGACACCTCCAGGTTAGTTTCTCATGGTCTTTTTGCGCCATAAGGAGGTCGGCTCTCGTGCTTCACCGACGGCATTTCCTCCGCCAGATGCACGCCGCGCCCTTCAGACGCAAGACGTCCGGCGGTGCGGGGAGGCTTACAACATATCCGGATGTGTCGGGCCAACATCGATGACGAGCGCCAGATTGTCTGGGCCCACTCTGAGCCATCCACTGCCAGGTGCGTACTCAGTACTCATTGGTGACCGCTGCCAAGACAATATTCCGCATGACGCATCGAAGAACAAATGTTCCTTCAAGAGGGCGGTCTTCAGTGGGGTGGAGTGCAGCGCCTTCTGCCTTTGTGACAGGTTGGGTACGTGGCGCGGAAGTGCGAGCATGCGTGACTTAAGCACCAAATCTGTTGTAAAGTTTCTTCCAACATTCGAAGCTCGGATGTCGCGGCGTTTGAAGTATTGCCAGTCGCATCCCCTGCCAGTGACTACCGTCGACCACAACGCTGAGCGCGAATTGGACTACGTAGCTCAGGGGGAACGTAGACCTTGTGGGCTCCGATGTTGAAAGTGGATGATGCATCACAGGCAATAGGTTGCGTATTCAGTCTTTGAGTTGAGAGGAATATGCTGACGATGGCCTGGGGTGTATCCATGAAACCGAACGGCACTGGCCGCACGAGTCGAGATGTACTCCTGGCACAACTTCGGGTTCCTAGACAATCGCTTTGACGGCTGTCGTCATGTATCAACAACCTCATCAAAGGACAGACACCAAAGACTTTAAGCTCTTAGTGGCCATTCTATGACCTCTCTGGGTTGCATTCGTGCTTCGAGCTGTGCAGGTTCCCGGGTGCGTTGCCCGATGAGGGGTGGATACGCTTCTTATGTAATTGCCAGACACTGTTTCGAGATTAGACGCAGCTGTGGTTAAGGCCAGGATATCCAATTCCCTGATCACTTACCTACACCAATACTCGAATTTCTAGTGAGATGAATCAAAGAACAGACATCCATGCAGTTGCTTCTTGCAGAAGTGCGTAAGAAATCTGCCTACCACGAGTGAGACCGCCAGCCTTGCCCTACGTTGGCTACTAGCGGGGAGAGCGCCTGATAAAACGCCCCACTTCCATCCTGCACATTGGGCAACCTTGTCTGAATCTAGGATTGCGCGACGGGCTATTGTCCTGGCTTGCAGCATCGTTTCTCGATTATCTCGCTTTTGCCGCGTTCTCCAGAAGGGCCCCCGGATTGCTTCAAGCTTGGAACCTGCGTTTGTGCTAGCCGCCAATGTCAGTGTCCCCTTGGGTTTGGGAACACGCACATCACTACCTCCTCAGCCGGGCTATCAAATGCCTTGCGCTTGTTTGCCGCCACTAAGTTGGCGTCGGTCGACGCGTCCCCACACGAAGATGACCAAGATATTGTACACGGCCTGCTCCTCATAAGCCCCATTGTGAAGACGCCCTCGGGAATGCGCAGTGGTATCCGCCCACCAAGGGGAGGAGGCTCTACAGAGGAACTTCTACAACACGAGCACTTGTCCTTGGAGGTTTATGGAAGCCCCGTTCGCGATGCGAATTCTCTGCCCACCCGCCCACACATGATGCCGACACATCTCTCGGCCAGGCGCAAAGCACCTGTAGGCTTCGTCGACCTGACCTTTGGGCAACAGTTCCGTTGGCTGCGAGCCCTCATATGAAAGATACTGTTGTGCGTGATGCGGGAGATGAACCGGAGCGTGGAAGCCCGTCGACTCTTGTTCGGTGCACACACCCAGAGGCCTCGCGATCCAAGATACTCCCGCCACTACCTTACGGGTGAGGTTCTTCATTGGTTGTGAGTCGATGACTGGATGCAGCGGGACTTGTAAGAGGCCAAACTCGGACATTGCACCTTTGTACGGCTCTGTTAGGTCATTGTTTCCATTGTCTCAGGGGTACGTCGCATCTCGCCGTCAAAGCGGACCTTTGGCTGACGCTCGAACCACATGTGCATAAGTGGCTATATGCAAGGTCTATGGATTGCATACCATTGTATCACATCCACTCCCATACCATCATCCTTGCTGTCCGTTGGGACCACCACTATATTGTATATCAAAATGCGCTTACCCGAGTTGTATAGTAAGCAGTCATATTGTATGTATAACCTCACCGACAGAGAAAGCGTATTTTATCGTACACATCGCGGTCACTGCGTGAAGCGCCATATTACGGTGGCGGGGAACATGCTGGGAATTTGCGTATTCCGCGCATATCACCCACGGATTCCCCAGTAAATCCCCCTTTGATGGGAATCTGGTGGGAACATGCACATTCTCTCCAGATTCCCTCAACATCCCCAACCGCTTGTGCAGATTTCTATTATAAGGGGGACTTGCCTGCCCAAAATTACTTATCCGTCCGCGATGACGTCGTCGTATGGTCCCATATCAACCTGCCATCGCGTCCACATCTTGACTTTGTACTTCTTGCATTCCCTCCGTATGCCTATCTTCCCCTTGGTACGTCCTGACCATTGACTCTCGGATGGCAGCTGATGTGTTAACATGCAGGTGTTCTCTCATAAATACATCTGCTGATCAGGGCAATAGTACGTCTCTAGTGTTGCGTGTGAAGTCCCAAAGTCTGATGGCTGCCGCATCTAGTAGGTTGTCCCGCGTTTATCGATTGTCCTTGATTAAGACTGTGAGTACCCAGTTTCAACGCTACAGTGTACTGCTAATCCTTTCTAAGCAGAACTCAAATATCGACATGGTGAGTGCATATATGCATGTATTGCGCGTGCCATCTCAGCTGTGTCTGATGTCCAATTGTAAGCCAGTATCGCTGTGCTGGCGGCTACGGGTATGATGTGATTGGGTTAGGGTTGATTGGGCCGGTCTGTATGATATATAGAGAAGTCCGGATGTAGCGTAGGAGAGTCGCCATTTGAATATATATTCATTTCGATCTAATTCAATCTGGCTGCCAATATCGGGACGAATACTAGGCGCCAAGCTGGGCACCAAAAATGGATATGAATAATAAGATACAAAATTGTATATCCCATTTGATCCCATGTTACGCAGGGTGCGGAATGTCTAAGTAATATGTGGGGAACATGGTCGGAATGTGAGGGGAAGGCAGTTAATACCATGACATCCTCTAAACCTGCGGAATGTGGTGGGAACATGCTGGGAATGTGGCGGTAATGTGCTCATCCTCTCCGTGTTCCCCAACCTCTGTAATCTGGCGCTTCACGCGGTGGGTGCTGTATAAGTCTTGTCCTTACTCGCGGTCACATGACCTACGCGTCGTATCCTCTCATTGTATGCAGTGCAGCTTGGATTGTGTGAGACAATGGGTTTTAGTGTATATCTTCCTCATATAAGCGCAGGACGCATATGTTGTGAGCCATGTGGCTCCAGAGGCGGGGGGCGTTGTCGCAACACCATCACGTGATGGGTGGTGACCGGAAAGGTGGCCGAAGGCTCGCGTCCCCTGCTTTGCGTCTTCCACCACCTCGGCATCCGAACCACCACTCCACATCTGGTTGCAAGAGTATATGTCCTAGTATGCACCCAGCTCAAATGCTTCAGGCGATGCAAGACGTTGCTCGGGGTAAGAAAGTGCCGAGTTTCACGACACGGGTGGGTACCAGTCGGCTCCTCCAAGAATGCATCCCCTATTGACAATAGAGGACCATCTCTTCCTAGCTCAAGAAATTCCGTGCAGGATACAAAGTCAGAAGCAACCCAGCCCCTGTCCCACACGACAATAGAGCGGCAGGAACAACGCTCGAGCCCGATGACCAGAAAAATACCCAGCAGTCACTCCAAACCATTGCGCCAAACCCCCATTCCAGGCCGCAACGGCCGCGCATACGCATTCCTCTCATCGCTCGAAACTCTTCACCATCCACCGAGACATGCGTGCACGACGGTGGTTGCGAAAGTCCATTGGAGTCGTATCCGACGACCCTAGTCGGCTCACCTGCGTCATGGTCTCCCAAGACCGCCTCCCGATCCTCGCTTCTCACCCTCGATTCTCCGGAAGAGAAGAAAGCTCTGCAGCCCCCGACGTCGCCGGAAGACCTCGAAGCGAGCGAAGAAGATGACGGCGCACGGGACGAACGCCAGTGGCGCGACGAGAGAAGCCGCCCGATCGCCCGCAACGACCATGGGGAGGGCGCGCCCTCTTGTGTCACGAATCCTAGACCATCACCGTTGTCGTTGGTGGACCTCGCCCCCAGTTCGACTCCTCCACGACCCGCTCCACTGCATGCGCTGCAAGGTGCCTTGGGGGAAACCGTCTGGTACATGATCGGGTCGCAACTGGACCAGCACGACCTCACGCGCTTCGCAATGATCTGCAGCGAGACTCTTCTCGCCGCAGAGAGCCTCATACACCGCCACCCGGCGATCCGCGATGAAGACACTATGGTCGCTTGGGCAGCGGCACTCGAGAGAAACTCCGACAGAGCACATCTCGTGCAGTCACTCACTGTCGGGTGGGACACTGAGGAGGATGTGAAGGGAGACGCCGCGATCGCGTTCGCCGCTGCGATCGAACTGTTGCGCGCAAGTAAGAATCTGCATACGCTGAACGTCTTCGCAACCGCAACTGCAGGCAACTTTGGGTCCGGTCACATCCTACCCGCAAGCGTCCGCACGTTGAACACGTCGGGCGCGTTCTTCTCCCGCGTCGAGCAGCCACTGCCCCCCCTGCGGCACCTGAGCATTCGCGTAGAGGCCAACGATCTCAATAAACTTCGAACGCCAATCTCTCTGTGCAGAGAAACGCTCAAACAGCTCCGCATTTGCCTGAAGTGGCCGTCGCCAATGAGAAAGCGGGAGGACAACCCGGTACGATTGTGCTCCCACTTAGACGCCCCTAACCTCGTGTACTTAGAGTTGCACGAGGAGAGGTCGGAGGTACGTTCGATGGACTACGACTACGAGGAAGGTACGGAAACTCACCGAGGTCTCTCTAGAATATCCCTCTCGTTATAACGAAGAGTCGATGGGACCGCTTGCCCGTCGGCACGAGCTGGTCGAGAATGCTCGCGACTAGGATGCCGAATCTCCGGTATTTGGTCTGGAGGCCCGTGTGGGCTGAGGGGGCTCGCGATATGCTTCCGGGTGGAGCATACGACGATATCGTTCATAGCTACCCCACGAACGTCTTCGCCCTCCTCCGCTGCCTGCGGATCTTCGCTTTCGCCCTACCTGACAACCAATACTTGTGCTTCGAAGGAGGGGCAGAGAATTCGAGGGACAGCCATCCACAGGCAGAGACTATCTGTCTGTGGAAGACGATGAGGGAACGAGACAGGAGGTTGCAGCTTTGACGGAGAATGTTTATAGTGGCCGGTTCGGTTCAACGGTGCTTACCTGCTGACCACGGCGGCGCATAGATGGGTCATATATGCGGGTGAGTTGACATATATGGGTCTTATTTTATTGCTATGTATTGTTGCTTTCGAGCTTTGGCGGGTCCAGCTTGCCACGCTGTCTCACTTCGAATGCCATAAATTATTGGGCTAGATGTCGCCGGGATGGCAGCACCAGTGTGACGTGGAACAAGAGGTCATCAAGCGAGGCGAGAAGAGAATGTGATCGCCAGGTGCGTGTGTCGTCGTCTGTTCGCAGCGGAGGTGGGCAGGTCGATGGCCATGGCGTGGAGTCAGGACGAAGCTACACAAGGCGCTTGGGTCTTGTATGTCGGCTCGCACTCCGACAACGAGGAGCATCCGATGCTTCTGTCCTCTGCTTTCGCCGATTCATCTCGCTATGCTTTCGTTCTGAATGATCCTAACTGCTGGAGGCCATCTCGACATGACTTTGTGGCCTGCTCCTGCTTCCCCCCGTCTCTTAGCTGCGCCGCGTAGTATATCGCCAAATTTCGATGTACCTTGTCCATGTCCGTGTTCTTGTTCAAGACTGCGCTTCTGTCAACGACATGAGGCTTTGCTCCGGGTACGGCTGTCTCATATGTATCTCAGCAGGTGTATGATGGGAAAATGGTGGTAGTAGTCTATGTCGTACGTTTCAAATCGCCAAGAGATCATTCTTCACATTTCCCATTCCGATTCGCAATATGAGCGAGATCGGTATACTCAATGCGACTGCTTGCATACGACGAGCAGAAAGCTTCAACACACAGTCCTATCGTGCGTGAGCGATGTATTCTAGCCCTCCACGAATGCGAAAGGCGAAGTTTCCTGGGATCATCCAAGGGATGTCTCCTATATATCAAGTCAAGACGATGTACTGGGCTATATACAGATTGAGGTGGGTCCAGCTGTGTCTAGTCCTCATACCACAGTCGTTTAAAATTTAACAGCATGCAGTCATCCAGACGTTACCCTCGTCCGGACTGAGTAGCCACGATCCGTCTACAATGAGTGACATGCAAGACACGATAGATGTATCATTGGCCGTACTGTTCGAGCATGTGAGTGCATAGTAGCAGCATCAGAGGCATGTACCTTAGAGGTCTTGTTGCACTCGCACAGTCCGTCGACCTATGGCTAATGCCCAAATTGGCCTCGGAATGCAACTTCACCTGGGTGTCTCGTCCCTCCTCCTTTTTCACCCTTCAAGACATCGGCGATGTACTTCTATACGCCTCAGTGGTGCTTCCTACTCCTGTCTATATTTTGGCCATTGATAACAGTTACGCAGAATAGCGGCCCTCCGACTCGAACGACTGTTGCTTCCCAAGGGAGGCTCAGGACGCGGCGTTTGTGCAGAGGATTCGCACCCACTACGACATAGATCTCGCGGTTGTCGACGAGGTGTACTCACGCATAGTGGACTCCTCTCTCAGCCGTCTCTCAGACTGACATCCTCCTCGCAATGCTGGCGCGCTTTGACCGCTAGTCTCCGCCCGCCAGGATATGTCAAACCCATCATCGACGAGCGATGTCCACTTTCTTGGCAGCTCCGCGAGCTTTCGTGGAGTCCATCTATCCGTACAGCTCGGGCCAGGATAGCGGTCTCTCGAACGAACAACACGTGCGGTCGACGGATAGCCAAGGGCGGGCGCCACTACTTCACCAACCTGCAGCGCTTCGTTACTAACTCCCTTCTGCCATCCCACCATCCAGCTGCAACCGCATTGCCAAGAAGATGGACATTGCTCAGGTTGAAGTTCAGTTGCCATTGCCGCGCTCCTGGGATCCGTATGTCATGCAGGAAGTAGAGTTGGTTGATGGTGGTTGTGCAGAAGGGTCCGCGTTGAGTGGCTCCAGTCAGGTGCGTGCTACTCTATTGTTCAGGATAGGAGTGCAATTGACGTGCTCACGGTCTATGCAACTAGGATACCACCACATGGTCCGAGGACGGACAACTTCTCGTCCAGATCGACCGCGACGTTTACCTCTTCCTCCGCGATCAAGCAGACATTGATGCTGTTGTGCGAGCTTTCGCTCGGGGCATCCTCGGTTTTCGTCACGTTCATGTGGAAGTGCATTGCCCCAGAACACTCCGAACCTTTTGCGACGCTCTCGCTCGCGAAGCATTCGCTCCTCAAGTGATCAACAAGTTCCGCTCCCTTAAGCTCGTCCTCTCCACTTCTCTCCGCTCGACACCGGACGACGTGAGTGTCGCTTTCCGATCCCTCACGGATCTGAAGCACGCACAATTGTTATTGCCTGCGTTCCACCGCCGCGGACTGTGTCTACCTCACAAACAGCCCATCCGATCCTTAACTACCGAATCCTTCACTATAAGGTCTCTCCGTGGCCCTGCCCCTCCACTTGTCAATCTCAGTGTAAACACCACACTTGAGGACGAAAAAGCATTATGCGCATCAATCAACCGCCTGTTCGAGCACTCGCTGGTCAGGCTCCGTATTCTACGCCAGTATGAGCCTTGTGCCAAGCATACTGGGCCTTCGCCCGCCCGGACGTGCTTCTTGCTATACCTGCCCCATCTCGTATATCTCGAACTGCGTGACACTGCGCTTCTGGTGAGTCCTTTGCGTCGTGATAACTCCCCATCCTTGAGAAATGGCATCGCTCACAAGATTCCGGACAGAGAGATTCGGGCCTCGGTCAGGTGGACCTAATCTCGCAGGCACCCTGGATCCACTACGCCCCGCGCAACCTTCCGAAATTGAAGTTGCTTCTCTGGGCGCCGCCCTGGCATCAATACCTCGAGTACGCTCCGAGGATCTATGCACAGTCCATCGCGGCCTACCAGGAAGACTTGAGCCTGGTCCTGCGACCTGTTCATCTAGTCATGTGCGAGTCCCAGACGGAGGGATTCTTGTCATACCCCCTCCCAGATGGAACGTATCGCCACGGCCGCGAAAGTTCTGTCTATGTCGACGAAGACGGTTGGCGGCGGTAAGGTCCATGTTGGCGTCATGGTGGGATACTCCATCGCCGACGATGAACAACGTACGTGGGACTGCCAATAGAGCATCGTCAGACAAAGCTGACCGCTTCCACTAGCAGATGTATCCGAGGGTGATAACCGAGGTTGCTTGTATTTTTGCTGTATCTTTGCTGTATCTGTGCTGTCTGTGCTGAACTTGTTGTGTTACATATATGCTACTATGATCAAGCCAGCTACTCGTGATCCAACCGTTTGGTGATCGGGTCATGCGAGAAATCGAGCGAATCCGACCTGTTAACGGCGTGGTACTCGCTCAGACTCCTACTATCGCCCCATCCTTCTGTCATGAGGCTCTCTTCGTCATCCTCCCCCTGTTCGTCATCTAACCCCTTGTGATCCTCGTCATCGACGTCCAGCGGTTCCCCTAAGTTGTCGAAGGGATCCTGCGCGAAACGGAGGGAAGATGCAATCTGTGTGCCAGCAGAGATGGTGGTGAGGACTGGCGACTGATCCAAAGTCCGAAGATTCAAAATGAAGCGGGACATAAGGATTGACGAAATTCTACAAATATGAGGATGAGTTCTAGGTGAGCAGCAACCGGCGAGATAGAGCACGAACATGACTGCTACAAGTCCTAGGGATACTTGCCGCTTCATGATGTATTGTTAGTTGGACAGCTAGTCGCCAGGTGGACAGACCGGGGAAGTGTGTCGTACCGTTAGCACATAATACATTATGACAGAGTCCACGATTAGAGTTGTTCTGAAGCAACTATCAGATCAATATACTACGGTCTCAAGAAGGCTGTTACTCACATAAAATATGTGGTTCCTGCCCACAACGGCGAGTGTGAGCATTACGCCGATTCAATAGGTGTAGCGTCCTCACCATCACGAAGTATCAGGGAGACTAAAGATGTCCTCAATCTGGCTTTCCTGGCAGCGATTGCTATTCCGGCTGTTCTGTACCAAGTAATGGCAACAACGATAAAGTTTGCAACATAACCGCATAGCCGTACGCTAATCGCCACTAATGTGCAGCAGATCGAGTCAGATCTCCGGGCTCTGGCGATGCTTGTATATCATACCTCTATGAAAAGAAAATTTGAGTACACTTCGTGGAACGAGCAGACATGCGGGATACTTTCCTGGTCCAAACTGGATTATTCAAGTTGCCTCCAGAATATATCGTCTGAGCGCAGCCTGTAAGCGGCCAAGGCAGAGCCATAGGCCGAGACATGAACATTTCTATCTGCCGCAAAACAATAAGCCCTCTACAACCGGAAGACAACGCCCTACTCACAACATTGGGTGGCACTGGACTAAGCCCTAAGAGTAGAATGAGGGTCGTCCAGGACCATTTGCGATTATTGATAGTATGTATGCGAAGAGCCATGAAGACTATGAACGATTACCGCACTAGGATATCTAGCTATATACTAAATCTCTTACCTGCCTGTGTTGCTCCTAGGAGAGTTCCGAACAGTTGTTGCGACACATCCGGGAAGCGGCACCTATAAGATCCGTCCGCTCGTCTGTATGTTGTTGCTTTTCGCTGCTAAGAGAGTAGACTCACATCTACAAGGTAGCAAAGCGTGAAGATTTCGGTAAGGCGATAAACAAGAGAAATATGGACCCACGCTGTCGTCCTCCCACACAACGAATGCCCACAGAGCAATGGACAGTCCGAACAACATAAGGCAGTAGCGATTGAGGAGGAACAAAACCGTTGGTATTGTTAGTCTTCGTCTCCATATTACGCGGTGTTCAGCAGGAAAGGTGAGAATATATTCGTAGATGATGAGCGCTATGAGTAGATATCAGCAAGAGTAAAGCGGGATGAAGTGTCGAACATACCCACACAAGCCATCTCGAGCCGACAGCCCGCAGGAAAGCTGTGGATACAACATGCTCATCAGGATCCCAGAAACGCGTCGTTCCTGACGCCGAGTACTCACAACGCCTGATCAAGCTTCTCGGCTACCAGAGTGGGTGTCCACGACTGTATGGGATCTGACGATGCGTTCATTTTGTCTTCCCCTGCAGTAAATCAACTGTCAGCGCTTCGTTGAGGGAGATACCTTGAACGAGTTCGAGGCGAGGCGCTAGATGGCTCATGGGCTCGTATTAAGTATGCGTTGGTGCGGATTTGAATTGCGATCCAGGCACAGGGTTGGTCCCTACTCCCGATTGCGGTGCTCGCTCTTGACTAAAGCTGTCAATGCTATGGTGGCATGTGGCATCACAGACGCTGCACAAGTCTTCTGTCCATAGAGTTCGAACGTATAAGTTGTGCAAGCCCTAAAACTTGCCACCACTGAGGCAAAAGTGGATGGGCCAAACTTCAGATCGTCGTGCTCCTTCACGCGCATGCAATCTCGACGACAATGGTAAGCGACGGGGGTGAACGGCTTTCTTCCGATCATTTGTTGCCAACCAACCACCGGTGGTAGCGATCCAGCTGGTCTGGCCATGGGCACAGCCTCCTTGCACGAGAGACAAAAGTCTATCACGAACGACTTTTCGTTGAAGGCAACACAGCGCGACCACGAAATTGTCTCACACTCCTGTGCGTGTACTAACCAAGACGCTTCTACATATCGTCACCTCCATCCCCATCCCCATCTCCTAATTCCAACTTTCTCTTCCTACCGGGCATCTCCGCACCGCCACCATAGCCAGCGCCCGCCTTATCTCGGAGCTTGTCGACGTCGACGTCACCCTCTTCTGCCCATTCGAGGACCAAATGTCGCCCAAGCAAGTGCGTATGTCTGAGCGTCGCATACGCCTGCTCGGCCTCGTGCCGCGTGGTGAACTCGAGGAACGCGAATCCGCGCGTACGATGGTCGAACTTGCGAGGTAATCGCACAGACTTGAGCTGCGCATGAGCACTGTCACAAGATCGACGCCCATTATCAGCGCTGCACTGCAGTGACGGCTGAAACAAAGTGCGATAGCGTACCCGAAGAGCTCCCGGATGTCCTTCTTGGTCACCTCGAACGGCACGTTCTTGACGATCATCTTCGTCGTGCGCGCCTTGACCTTCTCCTTGTCTGCCGTACTCTCTCCCTCTACGCCACGTCCCGCCCACTTCACTACGAGCTTGTGCCCATCGAGCACCATCCCGTCCATGCTCTTCAGGCCACGCCGCGCTCCGTCTAGCGTGCGGAACCCGACGAAGCCGTAGCCCATGCTGAGGCGCGCCCCAGGGCGAGCGGGGTCGGGCTTTGTCTGGATGCGCGCAAACGCGAAATCCGGGAGGTGCCTTACGACCTGTGTTAGCTTCTCGGGCGTCGTGCTGAACGACAGATTCTTGACGAACAGCGTCGTCCCCGCGCTGAGCGCCGACTCATTAGCCGCCGAGGTCTCATCCGCAACAGCGATGGGAGCCGCGCCCGTCGCAGAGACGGGGACTGCCGGGGCTGCCGATTCGTTGTCGGCGATAGGCTCATCCGTGATGAACATGCCCTCGGGGCCCTTCTCGAGGTAGATGACCGAGTTACCCATGCGGCGGTACGCGACGGCACGGAACGCCTTGCGGCCTTCGTCGGGGTTTACGAACTCGACGACGGCAAGCGTGCCCGCTGGCGGCACCAGCACGCGGCGGAGCTCCCCATGCGGCTCGAAGAGGGCGCGCACGTCCGCAGCGGACGTGCCGTAAGGAATGTTCTTAACGAGGATGATGCGGTCCGAGCGCGCGGGCCGCCGCCCTGAGGGAGAGGGGTCGAGGGCAGAGAGGTCGACGCCGTGCTGTTCGAGGAAGGTCTTCGTTTCCTGGATGACGTGCGTCTCGGCCAGGGCGAGCTTGACGGCAGCGTTGGAGGACTCGGGGTTGAGGATGTCTGCTTTGGAGATCTTCATACGGTCTGCTATAGAGGAGACCACTGCATCGCTCTACATGATTGTGTATGAGCTCACGACGCCCCAACGAGATATATTCGCGGGATCTCTACGTACATTCATATACAACATGGCCCAATTGAACTCCTTCCCTGCTGTAGCCTTTCGCTTCGCGTCACGATCCTGCTTTACTGTCCGCTTCTTGCCCTCACCCTTATCATCCTCCACCTTTCCCTTCCTATCCACCGCGGGCAAGACGTGTAGCAGACGACCCTGGAACGATGTCTTGTCGAGTGCCTCGTACGCCGCCACGGCCTGTTCAGGCTTGGCAAACGTCACATAAGCGAGACCCTTCGACTGCTGTGTCTTCGGGTCGAGAACCAGATGTGCCTAAAGAGAGGAAATTCGGTCAGCGTCTGATATGCACTGATGAGGCGAGCTTCGAAGGGAAGAAGAGAGATGACTATAGATCAGATTGTTTCTACTATCGATTTCCCTGAATAATCAGCACCCCCGCAAGCGAGTCTGATGTCCCTATTCAGTCTTTTCATCATGCTAACCCGTCTCTCTTCTTCACCTCACACTATAGACACAGATCGTCTGCTCACCTGGGTCACATCGCCGTGCGCCTGGAAGTGCTCCCGTATCTCATCTTCAGTGCAGGTGAAGGGGAGGTTACGGAGAAATAGTCGTGAAGTTTGCAAAATGGTCGCTTTCGTCGAGTCTAGAGGTTCGGTCTCATCCTGGTGAGGATCGTCGTGTCAGCTCCATGAGGGCTATGGAACAGTGAGGATACTGCGCACGTCGTTATCATCGTCTGAGTCCTCCTCGTCATCCTTCATAAGCTCGTCGTCTGACTGCTCGAAGACTTTCTCCGGCACGTCCACAGAGTCCAGCGTCGATTTTGTGTGCCGCCGCAGCCAGTCCGTGTCCGACATGGAGGAACAGCCCGTGGTTGAGGAGGCGTCTGCAGAGCCCACCTTCTCTTCGGTCGCTTCTGGCAGCTCCTTACCCTTCTTCAACTTCTTGCTCTTCTTTGCGTCGATACCAGAATCCTTTAATGTCGACGCCAAAGGTGCAGGTATAGGGTCTGTGTCTTTCCACGAAGGACCCTTGTTGCGAGGCTGCATTACTTGCATGAATTCATCGGTAAGGTCGGCGTGCTTGCCCGTCTTCGACCTGTCCTTGGTAGAGGTCTTCGTCGTCTTGGTGTTCGCTGAGGCTTCAGCAGACCCCTCGACTTCCGCGGGCGACGGGCCTAACCTCGGACGCTTGTTGGGACGTGGTGCCGGAGCGTCCTTCGCGCCCTTCGGAAGTGAATCAGAACTAAAGAAGGCGCAGGACGAGAAAAAAACACACATCAACAACGTCGACGGTGATCCTCGACGAGTCGACGAACGACCTGTTAAACCACTTCTTCGCCCGTTCCGCCTCCCGGGGAGACTTGTAGCCGATGAAGCCGAAGCGGCGCGACGTCCCGTCGGGCTTCAGCACGAGTTTTACATCAGTGAGTGTGCCCCCAGGTCCGTCAGACGTCTCGAAATGCTTCCGCAGCCGCTCTTGGGTGAGATACGCGGGCAGATTCTTCACAATAAGACGTGACATGGCATCAGAAAACAACACACCAGCCTCGATAGTGAACAAGGTGGGACGGAGCGGAAGGAGGAAGTTGGGAAGACGAGAGCGAAAAATTGGGCGAATTTATGGAACAACAGACGCCGGTTGCCGACAAACCCAATCGGGAATGTGCGCCTATCTATTCAGCTATAGATTTCGAGAGGGTCGGAAATGTGAGGCTTGCGCTACTGTCTATCACCCTACTACACTCCCCACATCTTCTATAACCAGCAAAGATCCTCTGCTTATTTGCAACTATGTCTAAAGCAGCCACGCAGACGCAAGAACGCAATCCAAGAGGCATTCCCAAAGCGCCCTTCATCGTCCGTGCACAAGCGATTCGATTGCAGCAGTGTATGTTAACGCGAGCTCATCCAGGCAGATGTCGCAGAGTTCTTGGGTCCTGACCCGAATCCGGAGAATGCGTTGAAGGAGTTCCAGGCCGCGCTAGCGTATGTTCCTGTGTCATCTATGGGCAAGTGGACCGAATTTGACGGCTCCCTTCTACAAAAAGGAAGTATCGGTACATGGACAATAACCTAGCTCAGCGGAGGCGAGGACTCGAGGAAAAAATCCCAGACATCAAGAAGACATTGGCGATGGTGGAGTTTTTGCAAGAACGACGAGTAAGTGAATGTCGACTTCCTTAGAAACTTTACTTGACGCGCGGCGTCCGCGCGTAGGAAGGCATGAGCGCAGCAAAGGATGGAGATGAAGACGACCTTGATGACGACGAGGGCGACGTAGACGTCTCAGGGAAACCGCTTACAACTACCTTCGAGCTGAACGACACGCTATACGCTGAAGCGGAGTTGGAGGACACCGACTCCGTCTACTTGTGGCTTGGGGTGCGTCCGTCGTCTCCTACTCAACCGCTTGCTGCGTACACGTCCTCCCCTCTGATCTGGCCGCCTCTCCCCCCAGGCAAACGTCATGCTCGAGTACAAGATTCCCGCTGCCGTTACGTTACTTCGATCAAAACTTGATGCTGCACAGAGTAGTCTTGAGAGCGTGATTGAGGACCTTGAGTTCCTACGGGAGCAGATCACAGTCATGGAGGTCAACACCGCGCGCGTTTACAACTGGGATGTCAAACGGCGGAGAGAGTTGCGAGAGAAGGAGGTGGGTAAAGGAAACGACGAGGAAAAGGCATAATTCAGTCGTGTGTATGCATACTTGTGAGTCGTGATATGCCACATGTATATAGTACTAAGGGACCCGTTCAAGTATTCTACTCTACTTCTTTTCGCTCTATGAGTCGCTCTGAGGCGGCGCACTGTTTCACCGACCTTAGCTATGTCGGGAGTCGGGCGTCGGGAGGGCGCATCACCCATAATAGGAAGTGGCGGTACCGTGTATGACTCGATCATGTGATACAACACGCGAGCCGCGACGGTCACCGGCGGCTAATCACCTTGCCTTTGACTGCCATCATTCCCCTCCGCCTACTGCCCCGTTCGCAACCTGCCTCTGGTTTGCCCTGTGTACATCAATGTTCTGCGAAGAAAGTGATCATGTAGAAAATTTACGTGCGCGTCCAAGGCCTTACGGCGACCAACAATCACGTTTGCCGCTCAAAGCGCTGCTGCAACGTCTACGCAATCGGACTGGCTTCGATCACTCAGCCGGTAAGAAATACAAGGGAAAGAATACCGCACGATCCAAGAAGAGAAGCCATGAAGAGGACGAGGAAGATGGTCGGCGGAAGCGGACAAAGATCTCTTCCAAGGACGCCGTCAATGTCGCGGACACAGGACGCCTTCTCCCTGTCTATCAGCGCGTACTCCGCATACGTTACACAACTGCCATCAACGGTCCTGAATACGACTACTACACTGATGAGCAGGCAGCGGAGAGTGGCATGGCCGACGACGAGCAGGCATTGCGCGACTGGGTGTCGGCCTACGCAGCGTCCGAGAGCCAAACAGCGGTCATTGATCTTGGACAGGTGTCACTGGACCTGGGAAGCCTCCAGATTGTCGACCCATCGACCAGGGAGGACAGCGTTATTCTAGCTTTACCCATACTGCGCGACTCCTTCGACCCGGACGACTACGACTTGTCTCCGAGGGCGGGACGATTTCGCAACGCTCTCTACGCCTTCGAAGCTCTAGCGCGTGACGAGCGCGCTCGCATCACTTCACAGCTGTCCCTGGTCCTGTCTCAAGAACACGAGCCAGACGAGATGCCGTTCTTCATGCGCCTGCAAATCGATTGCTCGTTCGTGTGTCCGAAGATATTCGAACCCGTCCAGCCTGCGAGCAAGCAATCGTGGTCAGAGGCCCGCGCTCTCGAGACCCAAGAAGCCCAGCGTCGGCTCATCCTCCAACTCTTCCCTCCTCAGACACCCGTGCCAAAGTCCTACCACGGCCACACGGACATCCCCTTCCTGTTCTCAATCCTCCAGCCTGCGCCGGCCCTTTCTCCAGAAGCGCTCGATGTGCTGCAGCCCGAGGCTCTTCTCCCCACTCTCCTCCCCTTCCAGCGCCGGACGGTAGGGTGGATGATTGACAGAGAGGGTAAGACCATCACATCGTCAGGAGAGATCGTCCCTACGACCCAGATTGACGTCGACGAACGTCCGCTCCCTCTCTTCTGGCATCGCTACCCAATCTCTCCTGACGAAACATGGTACATACACCGTCTTCGCGGCATCATATCTCCCACTCGCCCGACGGTTGGGGAAGACGAGGACGAGGACGAGGCGCTAGAGGCGCTAGGGGGCATCGTGGCTGAGGAGCCTGGGCTGGGCAAGACGCTCGAGTGCATATCCACGATCATGATGAACCCGGCGGAAGGTCGCTCTCCGGTCAACAAGCGGTGGGACCCCGAGGCGAAGATCGAGGTCAAAGAGATCAAGGTGCGCTTCGGACGCGTGGATGTTCGGTTTGACTAACCTTGCGCTGCAGACGACGCTCATTGTGACGCCTCCGCAGCTTGCGCCGCAATGGGCAGACGAGCTTGCACAACACGCGCCTAGCCTCAAGGTGCTCATCTACGAAGGCTGGCAGAAGGTTACCGTGCCGATCTCAGACCGCGACATCGCGCTGGAGAGGGAGAAACGCAAGGCCGCAAAGGCCAAGGCCAGGGCGGCTGCCGCAGCCAGGGCGAACGGCAAAGGCAAGAAGAAGACAGTCGCCTCGCGCGCACCCAAAGCTAGAGGCAGCAGCAAAGGTAAGGGCAAGGCCTGCGCGAAGGACTCAGACGAGGAGGACGGCATGGACGTCGACAGTGAGCATGAGCATGAAGCCAAGGACGAGAACGAGGAAGAGATCCTCGACTGGTGCGCATACGTGAACACGTTCGACGTGTGCATCACGACGTACAACGTCCTGCAGCACGACTTGGGCGTTGCGCGCCCGCCGCCCTCGCGGCCACGCCGCGCGTTCGTGCAGTACAGCACGGCGGCGCGGTCGCGGAGTCCGTTGGTGATGTGCGAGTGGTATCGGGTGATCATGGACGAGGTGCAAATGGTTGGAGGGGGCAAGACGGAGTGCGTTGAGTGCCGGGCTGTTGGCGTGTTGGAGTTTGGCGTGCTGACGGTTCTGACGTCTTCAGGGAGATGGTCTCGCTCATACCGAGGTTGTCGTCCTTTGCGGTATCGGGTACCCCGGCGCGGTCGCAGGTTGCTGATCTGATCCACGTCCTCAAGTGCGTCCTTCACGATGTCGGTCCAGGTGCGCTTACTTACAACTGCGTCTACTAGGTTCCTTCGCATCGGCGCTGTTACGGACGTGCCCCGTACTTGGACTCGATTGCAGCTTCCAGGCTACGTCCACGAGTTCACAGAGCTCTTCCGCCGGTACACCGTCAGGTACGCTTGGTGTATCGCTTCGATCGCGCCCTGCTAACGAACATTGTGCTCCAGGACCATGAAGGAGGCAGTAAAAGAAGAGCTGACCATTCCTCCTCAGACGCGCTACCTCGTTCCCATCGAGCTCGGCCGCGTCGAGCGTCACTTTTACGACCAGACGCTCGATGCGGCACTCCTCGACCTCGGCTTGGACGCGCGCGGCGTCGCGGCGACGGAGAACTGGGAGGTCGACGTCGCTAAGCTGCGCCACTGGCTCCGCCGACTGCGCGGTCTCTGTACCCACCCGCAGGTCGGGCAGCTCGCAGTCAACGCGGTCGACAAGCTGCACAAGCCTGGGGTGCTGAAGAGCATGGCGGAGGTGCTCGAGACGATGCGTGAGCAGAATTGGCGGAATTATATGGAGGATCGAACGGAGAAGGTAGAAATTCTGGACTCCAGTCCCCTCATGCCGTGACACCTATGAACTCACCTCTGTCCTTCAAGATCTCCACTATGACGACCCTGGCCCAGTTGCTCCAGCAGGACGACGGGAACCGGAATCGCTACCGCCAAGCGCTAGACATGCTCCTTGAGGCTGAGCAAGAAGCGGACAAGCTCATTGCCGACCTCAAGGAGGCGCAGGCCGAGTATGCGAAGGAGCGCGAAAAGCTCAAGTCGGAGATGGCTCAGCTCCGAGCGTCGCGCCGCCAGGATTCCTCCGAGGCTCAGACCGAGAAGAGTAAGGACAGCGATTTTAGCAAGGGCAAGGGCAAAGCCAAGGACAACGGAAAGGAGCAAGATAAGGAGGAGCGCACGGGGAGCGAAAGTCCAGATTTCGACCTCGACGAGGAGGGCATTCCGCGGAACCCCGCCGGAGAAGCGCACAGAGCGAAGGGCATATCCATCCATGGACGCATGCGTAGCGTTCGGATCGCGCTGCATAGGGTCAAGTTTCTGCAGGGAGACGTCTATCACGTCTTGGGCAAATCTTATGAGGCTGCGGAAAGCGAAGCGTATGCGGCAGCGGAGGAGCTGAGGCGTACTCTTTTGAGAGGTCTGTGATCTTTTAAGCACTGGTCGGGGTCTTGAGCAGAGCTGAGCGCGAGTATTCGCAGGTACCGAAGAGGCTGCTGAGCGTGCGATGACCTACCTCGACCATGATCCTGTAGTCAAGGCTCTGAAAGAGAAAGATCTGTACGTCAAGACTCCCTATCTTGGAAGGGGCGGTCTCAAGTCCTATCACTTAGTATGTGCTATAGATTGTGTGCTGGGGCTCTACTGACGATTCGCATAGATGGAGGAGGGTAACGAGCTCATCGAAGGGCTTTTGAACGAACAGTCCGCCCTCCTGTGGCAATGGCGTCAGAAGCTTATCGCACTTCTGACCCAGCCACTCGGTAACAAGGGAGATGATGATGCCGACGGCCAGGAGTACTCGCGCAGTCTCGAAACTCAAGGCGAAGCAGAGGCGTACCTTCAGGCGTATGCCGCGCTCCTGGCAGATCGACGCGAGACGCTCACCGCCGAGCGAACCCTGCTTGCCGCACATGACGTGCGCGAGGTCAAGGCGCGTAAGACGAAGGCTGCGCGGAAGGCGGAGGCGTCGGAGTACGTGGCTCTGAATGACCCAGAGGTCATTCAGCTTGACAGGCTCGACGACCAGGAGATGCTACCTGAGCATGAGGTCATCGCGAAGACTCTGAATGACGAACGGAAGGCGTTGTTAGATGAGTTCGATCCTGGGCGTGCGATCAAGAGCGTTTTGGTCGACCTGAACCACATTGTCGTGAACAGTCAGAAGAAAGACGACCCCGAGAGGATTATGGCGCAGGAGGGTGTTGCTAAACTAAGGTCTCTCATTGCTGAGCAAGGTACGTTTCGCGCAAAACTGCAGCTCGGGACTATGTTCATCTTTGTGTCTAGGAAAATTGATCGATCGCCTCCAAAGCGATTTGGCTCACCTCCGGAAAGCGTTCAACGAGCGTATCGCGTATGTTGTCTCACCTCATCGGTTTGTGATCCCCAGTGGCTCATCACGCTGTCCACAGCTATTTCCGCCAGCTGCAGGAAATCTCCGACACTGTGGCAGAGGCGACGTTTGAGACGACTCTTCAGGACAGCATTAGGGACCTTCGTGAAAAGCAGGCTCAGCTGGACACGAAAATCAAGGCCGCGCGCGCCCGCCAGCGCTACATGGACAATCTTAGCAAGTCGCACGAGGAAGGTACGATGGACGAGGACGACAAGACCTGTATCTTGTGCAAATGCGAGTTCATCCGAGGCTACATCACGCAGTGGTACGTTCCGTTCCTGAGAAATGTGTACGCGGATATTCTCACATATTAGTTGCCAGCGCGCATGTCTACTGCGAAGACTGCATGAAAGCGTGGATCACCCGCCCCGAAGGCAAGGCCTGCCCCGTCTGCCGCGTGCCTATCAACACCGACCAGCTCCAGCGGTTCTCCATCGACAATCCGGACGAGCCGGCTGAGGCGCGGGGCCCCGCGAAACTGCTGAAGAGCAACGAGGCTCTGCCTCGGTCGCGACGACAGATCCAGTACAACTTCATCAGCGCGCAGACGTTGCAGGATATACAGTCGATGGATGTGTACGGGAGCTACGGGAGCAAAATCGAGACGCTGGTTCAGCATTTGCTGTATCTGGAGGTGACGGACCCCGGAGCGAAGAGCATCGTGTTCTCGGCGTGGGCGGATTCGTTGCTTAGTGCGTACCGCTTCTTCTACCTTTCTCTCCAATTGCACCTCACCCTCTTGGTCGCCCGCAGTCATCCAGCATGCATTGAGGGCGAACGGTGCGTTTATGTGTCGTGCACCGTCTGCCACTTCCTAATACGGCACCGTAGGCATCAATTGCTTACGGGTCGACCAGAATTCTGGACGACGTAACGCTGCGAAGAAGTTCCGCACTGATCCTACTATCAGCGTATTGCTTCTCCATGGGTCAGTCACAACATTCTATTGACGGCTCGTTGCAGTGCCTGAAGGCGGTCACAGTGAGCGCGAGAACGCAGGGCTGAACGTGACCTGCGCCTCGAGAGTATTCCTGGTGGAGAGCGTAGTACATCATGCATTCGAAGTGCAAGGTACGGGAATCTGATACTACATTTTGAGTGCGACTGTTGAAACATCCCGTAGCCATTGCGCGTATCGATCGTATGGGTCAGACGCGACCAACGGAAGTGTACTGCTACTACGCAGAGGACTCGGTGGAGCGCAATATTCTGGACCTCGCTGCTAAGCAAGGGCTGTCGTTGTACACCCGCGATAACGCCGCGGGCACGCTCAATGTTACCTCGTTCGCCGCGGACTCGGACAAGAAGCAGGTGGATGCACCTTCGAAGAAGGTTCAAAAGGGGGATTTCGTCTACAAGTGAGTATCAGGGATTCTGAGACGATCACGGGGTTCTCGACTAATACGCCCCTGGAACAGGACAGATGACATGCTCGCCATTCTCTTCCCACATATGTACGAGGACATTGAATATTTGCTTCCCCCGGAAGAACTTGGCCAGCAGAACGATGCGAGTAGTCGGTCTCAGGATGACGCGGCACGACGGCCTGCTAGGAGGGCCGCACACGTGAACGCAGTCGCTGGACCATCACGGGCACGATGACTTCATCTTCGGTTGGCTTGGACATTGTTGTACCGTAGTTATAATTACCGTCGTCTTATCCACGGATCGAGCGTTCATGTTGTATCACTAGATCACTAGTATACCCTACCAAGTATAATTCTTGGCTACGTGAAGTGGCGAGGTCTGTATGGCAGTATGTCCAAGTCCGTGAGGGGGGTGCCAGCTCGTGTGGTTTCGCGTTTCAGGTGCACAAGTGCGGTAGGTGGGTCTCAGGGAACCTCTGGCACTCCTGTGCTGGTGGAAAAGAGCGGGCTGAAGGGAGGGCGGAGCCCGACCACAGCCCGTGAGTCCGTGATAAACCCCATTGAGACGAAGGTCGATCAATAATTTCTACTTAGTATATGGCGCGTTGAGGGCGGGCGCCAACCCGGCCGATGAGCGCAGTAACCTTTCTACATGGTTCCTAGCTATCTGCACGATAGTATATCCTTAATGTGATTTAATGTGGCCATGACTTCCCGGAGGGCCCTACAACCTACATATTCTCAAGCTCCGCAATATCTTCTCCGTTTCCTCATTTCGGCCGAAACGATCGCTCGAACGAAAGGTCGGCTGTCGGCCCGAGTCGCCGGAGCCATGACGCAGTAGGGGGGCAAGTCGCTCATCTACCACCGACCATCGTTTCCTTGTACTCCTCACGGCTCTTCCCGTCTGACCAACAACTCCATAATGTTCAAAGCCTTCACCAGATCAATTGTGAGTATTCTCAGTCGCCGAAGACGCTTTATTGTGACTTACAGGGTAATCACGCTAGCCTGAGATTTCCATCTTGTACGTGTGTTCAGGCTCGATTTTCCTGTTCTCGCTGCTGAATGTGGCGAAGTCACAACCCTTCTTCACCAGCATCTGCGAAGGCTCTGAGTCTACTACGTTCTGCACTCTCGTCTCCGTACCCGCCTTCGAAGCCGTCTGCACCACCCTTGAACTTCAACCTTGAGGTGATCGAGAACAAGCCGCCAACAAAGGACCAACTGCGGACTATCCTCTCGTACGTGCCTGCGAAATCTCCCTCTGGCACAGGAGGCATCGCACCTGCACCTTCCGCAGAGACCCTTCTTTCCTCCCATCCGACGGTGGACGAACGCCCGCATGACGTCGAAGGCGTTGCCACCCTGGCAAATCGAAACCCTAATGCGCTGAAGTGGCCGATCGTCGTGGATTGGCACAACGGTCGGGCGTCGATAGGCGATGTTGGTGGCGTGCAGCAGATATTGGAGGAGTTGAGAAGGAAGAGAGATGGCGAAGCTTGATTGGCATTTCCGTATGTGCTCCTCCCCATCGAACCAAGTGTACTACCATCCGCGTGTCTGAACCTCTGTGTCAAGCTATGTTCCCATCTCTGATAGTTGCTCTGCATTCTACACTGGCGAGGCCGAGTCTAGCGATGGGTCAAGTGCTCAGACTATGAATACACTACCTCCGTCGTCGCTCCGACGCCTCCCGGACCGAGATGGAGCTCACATACCACATGTGCGTTGTCGATGCATGCTATCCGTGATTGGCGGTGAAACCCTTCCTCCGCAGACATGGTGCAGCCACGATCTCGTCTGGTCAAAAAGACGGAGATTGTGGTGGGGACGTTCCTTCCCTTCGGTCACGTGGTTCTGATCTCTCGATTTGTTGATATAGATATCAGCGCTTTTAAAACCGATCTGTACCCCCTCGAGAAACACCCGCTCAAGTCAGTCAGAGAGCCGATCCAGATGCGAATTAAAATTGCCGCTCGTAACGCCCAAGAACACCACCGAGAACCTTGGATCCAACTTGGGCCCCTACTTGGTGGGGCTCCATCGGATCAGACGACCTGTTTGGGCTCGGAGACGGTTCGGCTGCCAACCAGCTTGAGCATGTTCTTTTCGAGAGGGCCTATCGTTTTGAAAGACGCTGTACTCCACGGCGTCACCGTCTAAATTCTGTACGACGTCTCGACGAATAATCATCGCTGGCATAGATATCAACATGTCAATAGGAGCGGGGTCCGCCCCAGAAGACGTGAGCTGCGACAGACATGTGCTCGGCTGGGTCAGACCCCTCCTTGACCCAGGTCAGACCCCAAGGGGTCTGACCCTGGGTCAAGCCAAGGCGACATCAACGTCGGAGCTTCCGGGCACGTGAACCGCCGGGTCGGCCGGCCGTCCGCCACTCGCTGCTCGCTGCTCGAGCTCAGGCTCGCCTTCACCGGCCACGAACCCGCCTTCTAATTGCCAAGTTCTTGCCAATTCCAATTGTTCTTTCCAACTGTCCAATGTTTCGGCCATCAATAAGCGGGGGAGTGAAACCGATGGCCTTCAGGAACGCTGCGAGAGACTTGCCACAATGGAGATGGATGCCGACCCAGAGGAGCGTGTCTGGGAAACCCCTCCAAAACCAGCGAGAACTCAGAAACTCAGAGAGGTGCAAGGTGTAGCATAGTTAGTATATCCCGTCGTCATCGTGGCATCTGAGTCTTCATCTGCCTTCGCTCGAGGTGGGCAATTTCACCCTGCAACTTGAAGGCGCCCTGCCCGCGCTCCTGGTATTACGCGTCGACTATTCTACGCGAGGGCCGACCATGCATCACGTGTTGACCCCTCGAAAAGGTCAGACCCGGGTCAGACCCCAAGTCAAACCCCGGGGTCAAGCCGAGAGGGTCAAGGGGTCGAGTCTTGACCCGCACACCTCTGAGCTGCGAGGTCATAAGATCTACGTGCGAAGAAGGCCGGGTATATATATCGTGAGCTGAATCGTCATGCAATGCAGCCATCATAAGTTACGGCATGACAGGCTATAGCGCCGGTGACATAGTACGCCCCCGGCGGTCAATGTCATACGTTTCAGTCCTTCTGGGCGGAAGCCGATCATTGGCGTATAGATACTCTATGTAGCACGGTCCAATCCAATAACACATTACGGAGTGCTCCTAAGGGCCGTATCGCATCTTGCGCACCTACCATGGACATTCGTATGAGTCTCAAGAGGTAGGGTTGTAGAAGGGAAGATACGCCGTCAATCAGACGTTTGAGCCACAATTGACGCTCGAGAACCTGCTGTGAGTAACCTCAGCTCATGACATGCATAGGTGCTGAAGCTACACATCCTACCCGCAGCTTGAGCTCATACTACGTCGACGTTGCGTGCATAGGTGGGTACAAACAAAGAATTGTTCGCCTAAGTTGGACGTCTTTTCTGATGTCCTGCAGTCCTCATACTTTACGATCATCTCTTGACCTTTGAGGCCGAACAACGAGTTATATGGGGACGGAAGCTCAGCATTCCCACCCTCCTCTTCCTCCTGTCCTTTTTCGCTCTATCCTTAGTCTTGGGGAACCTCAATGGATGGGACTCGGACCAGGTGAGCAGCCCTCGTCATCTCAAATTCGAACTGAATCGATTGTAAACAATTTTAGCTGTCAGTATTGTCATCAACAATCTACCGATATGTTGAACTCCCCGTCACTGACTTGTAGCGAGCCATTATAGATGTCGCTTCTCCGGCGTCTTGAATCTCGTGGTCATAATCGCGATGCAACTCGTCGACGGATGTCGGTGTTTTTCACCTTCCCCACAAATTGGCTTTCCAGTTTGACCACTGATTGCTCGCTCGTTCTAGTGTTCCTAACTTTGAGGATACACTTCGTCAACGGCCATAGATGGTTCTGGACTGTCCTATTATTCTTTCTGTCCTGCGCTGCCGTGCCAGATAACATCGTGAGACGCCCATACACCGCCCGTTGTCTGCCCTGACGACCTGCGCTTGCTTAGGCCCTTCTAACAAAAACACAATTCCGGTCCTATCACGCAATCGGAACACCAATTTCTCACGGCTGCTTCGTTTCAAACAAGGTAATAAGGGAGCCGTCGTGGAACAGGTATGCATGGAGCACATCGTGCTAATTTCTTCTGCTGACTTGTGCGCGGTGCTTGTAGGGGTACGAGTCACTCCCACACATGTTGAGGAGAGGATGGAGATTGACTTCTTTCTCTATTTGTACGACCAGGTGCGATCATTCTTCAAGTACTCGGAGGCCTCGGTAGTGCGATCGTGCTCTGTATCACTTGGTATCGGACCATAGAGATTGTGCGGGCTGCACGGAAGGCGAGGACGAAGATGTCATTGGCATCTTACATGCTGCGTGACGGTAGGTGTTGCTAGTGCTCTTCAACATACTCTACTTAACTCAGACTTCTTGTTTCAGGAACTCTGTTCTTCCTGTGAGTGTCGTTTCTTGAATCTTTACGCCTGCAGTGGTTTTGCAAGCGCTTATTACATGAATGCTTGATAGGACGAATCTGATCTTCAACGTAGCCCAGATATACCTGTTCACAACTGTAAGTTCTCCTGTCTGTCAGTACAGGCTATGTGCACACGCTCAAGCACACAATCATGATTTGCAAGCCTTTTCCATCGCGACGATCTCGGTCACGTCAGTGCCTCCCCTATTATGACCTTTCTGACATCGCGTGCTCACCGAGGAAAGACCTGCATAGAGTGGGATCAGTTCTCACGTCACGCTTCATTCTGATTCTGCGCTTAGTGGGTCACGACAATCCACTCGTCTGGTCTTTCCACAGTTTCTGCCAATGATCTTGGGAGCGAAGCGCGCGTCACGACATTGGCTTTCGCTAACATTGACGCTACTGTTAAATTTAACGGCGATACTGAATACGATATGGGCGAGATTGAAGACGGACAGACGAATCTGTCGGAGAATACTTGTAGGTTTATTCCTGCCGATTGAATTCGTTGAGATTTTTAATCGGGCTCGGACAATCAATCGCCAGCTCTCTAGCAATCGGATGGCTACCCCGAAACCTCGAGTCAAGGACATAACAGAGGAACCCGTCAGGAGCCCCCATTTAGATGGCAAGCGAGCGACCGTTGGTCGACTTCAAGGCCTCTGCTTGTCCTAATGCAACGTGATCGTTGCTCTCCCCCACTGTCTTGCTTCGGACAGACGGCGGTCACTTCATCTGCCTACGGACTACGGCTCATTCCTTTCATGCATAGCTAACATTCCGCCGATGGCCCTCTAATTCGCCACTTCCGATACCCACTGTATGATACCAAGGTCACCGACCCATCTGAGACTGGAGACCTGCTGGCGACAGTAGCGAGCTTCTCAGCATTATCTTTACGATGATTCATGATCCTATGTTTGTTTCATGCAGATGCAGCTTATCACTTTGCTGATCAAAGACTCAGTATGGTACCTTCCCCACTACTGGTAACATCCTGCGCTCATATGATGCTTGATTGCATCACATGATCGCGCCGCCTCGCCGCGAAGCGTAGGCACGTTGATGTTGAAGATCCCCGACAGGGAGTACGCTGTCTTCCTCCATCGTGGTCTCCCGCTGTGCTGCCGGCACGAGTCGTTGAGCCACGCCGAACTCGTCAAGCAGTTCCGTCTGCAGTACAACTGCGGCGAGGTTACCGGCAATTTACCAACAACGTCAACCATTGCTATCCCCGCCGCAATGACGTCCCAGTCGCTGGAGAGGAACGTCGCGGCAAGCGGGGCGATGAACTCCTGGAGCATCCATCCGCGCGTGAACCGCAGGCTCTGGCGAAGAGCACATTGGCTCGCACGGGGTCTCCGCCGGCGGGCGTGTCGGGCAGGTGAGCGTGGCACACGTTCGCACTGCCGTACCACGGATACATTAAATTGATCGATCCGAACAACTCCGAGCTGCTTGGCCTGTCGATGCACCACGAGTCGACCTAGAGATACCGGTACCCAGCCTCGCGTGCCACCCTGGGGACAACGGCGAGCTGACTCCGGGGCGATACAAGCGGTATTGCTGATAGTACGCGGCAGGTGTTGAGTGACGGATCGAAGCAGGTGGTGACGTTCGAGTGGGAGCTGCCAGCAACATTGGAGCGTGGCCTCCCCCTCTGTTGCTGATTCCGGGGCGTTTGCTCTGGTCAGGCACGGCCCGTCGCCGGCCGCCTTCCCACCTACTCGAGGATTCGGCTGCGCCTGGGCAGATACCTTGCTATATATCCAGGTTAGTGTTCATGGTCTCCTCTGTCGTCGCCCGTGCGGCTTTGCTGGGCTTGCTTCTATCTTCCATGACGGCAATCTCTGATCACGACTATGTGCAGCCCGGCAGCAACATGAATGAAACAGGGAGGGAACTGTCAACCTGGAGGCCGGCGATGGGCAAAAGGTACGTATCTACGTTCATCACATGCTGATTGTTGAGCACGACTGATCACTGCTCGATGTCCCCATTGACCATGCACAGGCAGCCTTCTCTCTAGGTTCGGCGCAAACCCGCGTCCATGAATTTCGATTCCAACACTCATGCCACTGGGAATACCGAGTCTGCGGCCGCTACTGGCCACGGTCATCCAGAGATCACCCTCGGCGCGGGTCGCTTGTGTCGCTCCGAAGGCGGAGATGGCTGCCGCGCAGGCTGTATACTGCCATAGCAGAGATGGGATGGATTGGCATGCTATGAAGGTACGCCGCAACAACCTAGAATGTATCAAGCGTGGTTCAATGCAGTGGGACAATGGCAGCGTGTGCGTCTTATCTCCTCTGATTTGCTGGCGCATATGGCCGTCTAACGAACGTATCATATAGAGGCTCGTCAAGAGACAGAGAGAGCTAGGCCCCTTGCATGAACGGCTTCGAGGTGTGCCGCACTCGTATACAAGACTTGTAGACATCATTTTGTATGCGTCTGCAGGAATCAAGTGTTACCCTTTCCCGACCATGTACGTCAGATCGACTCTATCATATATCAGTTTATATCAGTCCTGACCTGACTTTGATATATGCATTCACCGCCTCAGATCCTGAGTGTATCAATCAGTCCCACGGTCGGTGTCCTTGACAAGCAAGTACACCGGCGGTTGTTTGGGACTAATATAGGTGTTTGAGACTACTATAAGGTCCTAACTTGTCTCTTCCTTCCGCTCGATTCTTCATCCGTTTGTCCAGTTTCTCTTTTCTTTCTCGGACCGCAGGTCGAAGTGCGTCTTCCCCCTCCATGGACGGAAAGTCACTCATATCATTGATGGTTATCGCAGATCATGTGGCTTCTTTCCACCGGGCGCGCAAAGCTCCACGAATTCGTCTCTCCCGAAAGCGTACCCGGGGGCTACGCCATCCTATCCCACGTTTGGGACAAAGAGGAACAATCCTTCCAGGAGCTGCGGAGGCTCGCGCGGGAGTGCGCGGTGACCGGCGCGAATCCTCGCGACCTCGCGTCGCCCAAGATTCGGCGCTGCTGCCAGCTCGCTGAGCGCCACGGCTACCAGTGGCTGTGGGCCGATACTTGCTGCATCGACAAGACGAGTAGCGCCGAGCTCTCCGAGGCCATCAATTCCATGTTCCGCTACTACTCTCTCGCAGACGTGTGCTACGCTTACCTCCGCGACGTCCCCCGCGACGATTTCCTGCATAATGCCGACTCAGCATTCCGGAGGAGCAAATGGCACTCGCGTGGCTGGACGTTGCAGGAGCTGCTCGCGCCCAAGTTCCTTATATTCCTCTCTCAGGAATGGGTTCCTCTCGGCTCTAAAGCCGACCTCGCACCCTTAGTGGAGGAAATCACGGGTATTCCATGCGCAGTCCTGACTTTCGGGATGTCGGTGGAGCAAATCAGCGTGGCCCGGCGGATGTCTTGGGCAGCTGGGAGGGAGACAACGCGACCCGAAGACGAAGCGTATTGTCTCATGGGCATCTTTGGAATCAGTATGTCGACTCTCTATGGAGAAGGTCGTCGGGCGTTCGGTAGGTTGCAGGAGGAGATCATGAAGCACACTCCCGATACGTCTCTATTCGGGTGGGGTCCTTGCATAGCCCCATATTCGCAGGAATGGACAACCCTGGGATTGTCACAACCTGTATCCGATTCGTCTTTGGACCACCTCCACCACGACGGCATGCATCTCCTGGCAACCTCCCCTGCAACATTTCGAGATTGTGACATGTCCTTCACCTCTCCATCCATCAGATCTAGTCACAAGGCGGAATCGGTGAGCAGTCGTTTTGTCATTCATATCAAGTGCATTCTCATTAATATTGAAACCCATGTTACCTCCGGACGGCGTGTTAGGATGTCGTAACGCAGCGGTCTGTCGGAGGACTCACCAGTAGCTTTGCATTTACCCTCACTGCTCACGGTATCTTCGCTCGCATACCTCTGGTGGAGCGAAATGGATACGCCGTCGCAGTGTTGGGCTTATCATGCCAGGAGACCCGGCTCGGACTTCTTCTCAAACAGTGTCCACTCTCCATTGATCGAGAATATCCGCTTTATGACATCGGTATAACCCTAATGTTCGGCATTCACTATCGTTTGGTTCCTCTAGGACATGTCGCCGGAAACATCCGACTGTCCGGCGAACCAGTCAATCCCCAATGGAGGCAGGTGTACCTGGCCACTCGCCTACCCCATGCCACCGCATCCACTATTCCTCCACGAGTACTCATTAGCTTCGGCCTTCGAGCACCATTCCGCTTTCTACAAAGGCACCTCCAGGAGATCTACAACCGTCTTAATCTCATCGTCGAATCTGCCGAGCCGGACCATCTGCCTTGGACAGGTTCATCGCCGATGAGGATCACGTTTGCGTTCGACCACAGGAAGGGTGGCTGCGCTACCGGTCATTCACGGAGCAAAGTCATTCTCCAGCTAGGGCGCTGTACCTCTTCTGCATATTCTCTAGAGTCGTCGCAGCGGCAGGCGAGGGGTTTGGGTCCGCATTGGGCCAACGTGCGTTTTGGTATGGACCCGCATGTCATAGCCATGCTGAGCAGCATGGATGTGACGCGCTCGAGATGGGACCTCAAGCCGGACCCAGTTGCTTGCTCAGACTTCCCAGAGCACGCCTGCCCCGCAGATCACATTTGTGAATGGCAAGATCGCACGAGGACCTTTATCGACGGCACCCGTATGGGCCCGAGTATGCCTAACCGTACGAATGACCTAGCCATCACGCTTTCCTTCGTCCCTTGTCCTATCAACCCCACCAATACCTTCATTGTGAATATGTCTGGATCCTGGCCTGACGATCTCACCAATGCGTCGGTCGTATGGGCCCCGCCGACTCCGCGTAATACTCCGCCAAGCGACGACCTTGGCTCCGGGGACTCCTTCGTAGACCGCTCCGCAGGATTAATACAGGTTAGGTACGTACTGGTCTGTTCACACGATACTTGATGCTCAAGACTGACCAGACCACAATTTCACAGTAGATCTCTTACGCTTTGACGGATAGTGATACGTGCGCACGATGCTCGTGTAGTTCAGTTTTTATACTGTTCATGCCCGTTCCTATGACCACCGTAGGAAGGGACCCGTCTGCCGTGATGTAACACTCCCGCTTGATATAACAGAAGATCCAAGAGTGATGCACGTTGGATGGTTACAACATTGACGACTACTGCGCAAATACTGTCCCGGCCGAATATGATACATACGGATTTTAGTTGTTCTCTAAATCTCAACCTTGAACCGCACGACGCGTGGGAGAAGCGAAGTTCACTCGACCTTCGTGCTCTCGATGTTCCAGTACTCCTGGGCGTAGTCTTGAATAGCACGGTCCGAGCTGAATTTGCCCATCTGCGAGTAATCCATAATCAGCGCATGGCTCTACCCAGTAAAGGAGGAAAAACGCACCTTCGCGGTCGTCCGGATACTCTTCTTGATCCACTCCGTGCGATCCTGGTAGGCCTCGTCAACGAGCTCGAGAGCTCGAATATCTATGGGAGAAGCTACTTAGCAGATGTCGTCTCTTTACCATCAATCATACGTACACGAGTCGAAGTCCTCCGTCAACAGGTAATAATCGTGCTGGCGGATCGTGTTGAGAAGACTGATTGGAGAATCGATATCAGCGAGCCGTAGTAGTCGGAGTGCTTGCAATACTCACGGCTCATACACGCCACCATCGCCGAAGCGTCCAGACGAGACCTCATTCAAGACGCGCGCAAGCGGCGGACACTTCTGCTCGATGGGCACAGGGTGGTACATGTGCTGGTAGCGGAGGTCCTCAACAGCCGGGGTCAAGTGACCGAAGAAGACTGACAGAGTGATTCCCTTCAGCATGCTGCCCCTGAACGCGGATACTTCACATATACGCACAGACGTTGCTCTCGCCGACCTCCTCCGCGATCTCGATGTTGGCACCGTCAACAGTGCCGACAAGCAGTCCACCGTTGAGACAGAACTTCATGTTCGACGTTCCTGACGCCTCCGTTCCTGCGGTGGAGATGTGCTGACTAATGTCAGACGCGGGGATGAGGACCTCGGCGAGGGAGACGGAGTAGTCGGGGAGGAAGTAGAGGCTCAAGATGTCCTTGGTGTCGGGGTCGTTGTTGATGACGCGCGCGACGTTCACGATCAGGCGGATGGTCTATTAGACACGGGGGGAAGTCAGCACGACGCGAGGCGTGAGGGGCAGGCAAGCGACGCACGAGCTTAGCGATGTAGTCTAAGGACATACGAGTTAGCACGAAAACTGCTGGTTGAGAGGGGGATGTCGCTTACAGCCAGGGGCAGCCTTGCCCGCGAAGAAGACGACCTTGGGATTGACTTTCTTGCGCTCAGCCGGAGACAAGTCCTTCAGCGTAAGGTACCTCTGTCGAGAGTATGTTAGCTATCAGTCTCCTCTCACAGAAAACGCGGACGCACGTGTATGACACCCATGATGTTCAACGTTTGACGCTGCGCGAAGACCTTAGTAAGTCAAGCTCTAGCAGCGGCCCCCCGCGACTGAACCTACCTTGTACTCATGCAGACGCTACGAAGTAATGGCTTGTCAACTTCCTGTCCATTCAGGATCATTAAAACGAGACACAAACCTTGATCTGAACGTCGAACATGGCCCGTGTGTTGATTTTCAAGCCGAGCGTAGCCTCGACGTGCTTCGCGAGGCGTTCCTTGTTGCTCTGCTTGACGGCAGCCCACTTCTTCTGGAATGCGGGGTTGTCTACAAATTCGAGGAGACCCTGTCACCACGCAGTGAGTCGGATACAAGAGGACGTCGCTGTGTCTAGAAAAACTCACCTCGAGCTTGTAGAGGTCTTTGAGGAACACGGCTTTCGGAATCTTCAGGGTCTCGCTGATGAGGTTGCTGAGGCCGGGGTTGCACTATATACATGATGGTTCAGATGGGGCAAAAAGCACGAAGGAAAATGACCATTTACCTGGTCGAGCCAGCGACGGGGAGTGACTGAACGTATGTCAGGACTGCATCGTGCAAGTAGCCGGATATCAATATAGAATACGTACTGCCGTTCGTGACGTTCGAGAACCTGTCCCAAGACGTTATGGTGTGAGTAACAACTCCAAGGCCGGATATTGAGATGTCTTACTTGCTAACGCCGTAGAAATCGACAAAGTCCTTCATGATTGTCTCGCGGACAAGCTCACTATGGAGCTGGAAGCCGGGTCAGACGGCATGCTCTTCGGTACGCCCAAAGATGATACTCACCTCGGCGACACCATTCACCTTCCTGCTGCCAATGCACGCGAGGTTAGCCATGCGGAGGTTTTTGGGGAAGCCCTCTGTTGTGCACTGCGTCAGTTTGCGGCGTCAGCAGCGTACATCGTCGAAACACTCACCCTCGATGAGGGACATGCGCGCGAGCTTCTCCTTGTCGCCGGGGAACTTCTTGTCGACGGCTTGCAAGAATTCCCTGTTACGACGTCAGCGACCGCACTTCTGGAGATACACGGACAGGACAGATGAATTACAGGTTCTATGAGAAAACAGGAATGCAACGACGCGGGCTGTCAGTCAGTCTATTCCAACTCCAACGCCATCGAGAGGGGCTCACGATGTCGTAAATGATCTGCAAGTGCCTGATCGACCGTCAGCTCATCTCCATCACTGGGGTTGGAACATTGGTATGATGCATACCTAGGGAGAAGGTTCTCCAGAAGTGGGATGGGCCACTTCTCGAGGGCCTCGGGCAGGACGGTGTGGTTCGTGTAGAAGAACGTATTGGTAGTGATCTGCCAGGCCTGGTCCCATGGGACGTCCTCTTCGTCGACGAGTATGCGCATGAGCTCGGGGATCGCGAGCGTCGGGTGCGTCTATGGGATTTGCCTCGCCTATCAATAGTATGCTTCTACGAATCATAGTCTCGCTTACGTCGTTGAGCTGGATGGACACGTCTGCCCAGCAGGCGGAGAGGATCAGCAACGAGTTGCACACCGACAGTGAGATGAGTGGCTACTCACATTCGGGGAACTCGGTGAGAGGCTTGTCCGTGTTCTTGAAACGGCGAATGATATCCGCCAGGGACGCAGCGGTCCAGAAGTATTGCTGCTTCAAACGGAGCTCCTTACCGACTAGATGCGCCACAAGTCAGTCATCCGACCGGCCTAGCGCACACGAGAAAGGTCACTCACAGGTAGTGTGGTCGTTTGGGTAGAGCACCGACGTGATCGCCTCCGCGCTGTTCGATGCCTCGACCGCGCGCTCGTAGTCACCGGCTACAAGAACCCATAAGAATCTCACCTCAAGGCACCATTCAGCGCACGCACCGTTGAAGCTCTGCAAGTCGAAGCCCCTCTTCGGCCTGCTCTCCCAGAGCCTCAAGTTGTTCGTCGTCTTCGTCTCATACCCCGGGATCGGGACGTCGTACGCGATCGCGAGCACCTCCTGGCCCCCCGACCAGATGCCCTTGTTGCCCTCGAAGCGCTCCGAGTGTCCGTAGAACCGGATCTGGTAAGTCACGTCCGTCCGCGCGAGCTCCCACGGGTTGTCGTGCTCGAGCCACGGGTCGGGCGCCTCCAGCTGCGAGCCGTCGGGCCCGATGTGCTGCTGGAAGATACCTGTTGGCGTCGGACGCGCGGGCAAGCGTCAATATGGATGGTCTGCGCGCATACAGGGAGAGCGAGAGGGAGGAGAGAGTCGCAAGAAAGGAAGGCAGGACAAGCGAGGACGTGTGAGGACGTACCGTACTTGTATCGGAGACCGTAGCCCCAGACGGGGAGCTCCTGGGACGCGGACGAGTCGAGGTAGCACGCCGCTAGACGGCCGAGGCCGCCGTTTCCGAGGCCGGCGTCGCGCTCCTGGTCAATGAGATCCTCGAGGTTGAAGCCGAGCTTGGTGATCCCGTCCTGGTACTTATCCTTCAAACCGAGGTTGAGGAGCGCGTTGTCGAGCGTGCGGCCCATCAAGAACTCGAGCGAGAGGTAGTACGCGCGCTTGGGCGTCTTGCGCGAGTATTGCAGCTGGGTATCGTTCCAGTTCACCTACAGAGCACGTTTGGTGTGTAATGAAACCAATATATATATGTACGCGAATAGGAACAAGGGGAAGCGACGCACGAGGAGGTTGTCGCGCACAGAGAGCGCAGCGGCTTGGTATGCACCGAGGTTGTCGAGGTTGTAAGCCTGGCGCGCGAGCGAGGTGTGGACATGGTGGACGACGGACTTGGTGATTTCGGGGGTATCTAGAGCAAGGGGTCGCTGCGATGAGTTCAAGAGTCGAAGAGAAGGAGGAGAACGAAGGCGAAGCGAGCGCAGGCGAGATGTCGGCAAGGGCGCAGCGCGCGTAGCAACGAGGCTCCTGAACCGTTCGGTAAGAGCGTAGCGACATCTTAACCTCAATCCTCAACGTTTTTGCCTGCGCTCTTCTCGCCTTCGATATTTGCAGATGCATAGGCGTCGAACTCACCCTGGGTCAAGCCCGGAATGCCCTCCTTCCAGACCTTTTCATCTCCGATGGGCCACTTCTCCTTTCCACTCGCGTCTTTCTCCGGGGTGAAGCCTGGCAAAATCGACCATCATTAACATCTTCCACACTTCAACAATGGCAACGAGTCTCCCTCACCGGTAAGTGATCGAACGTGCCTACGCGGGCTCGCCTTAGCCTGCTTGGTTGGCTTCCCGATAGTCGACGGATCGATGGTGGAGGTCATGGCAGGTCAGGAGAGACGAGGGGTGTCCGTGGATGATACAGAAGTTTTGACTGCGGCGCACACTGCAAGCAGAGGGCCGCGCACAGGAGGAAGAAAGGCGATCCGGAAGGAGTCGCACTTTATAGGGACGAGGAGGAAGGCCGGGCACCTCTGCCGCATCCACCATCCAGCCAGGTCTGCATCGTCGTGCGAATGTGACGCCATATATCTCTCCATACCACCACCTGAGCCCCGGCGCGCTGCCCCCGACGGGGACGAGCCTCGCAAGCTGGGCCTAGAACGCCGCCGCTCGTCTTCATCAGACCCTTCCTGCGGGCGTTCCTATGTGCGCGTGCGCGCCGCGATCGTTCTTTGCGTCAAGCCCGCTCATTGTGACCTCGCACTACTGCACTCGAAGTCTACGTTGGGACGTGGCTTGAGAATAAGAACTAGCGAAGGCCGGCTTGTGCAGCGTCTGTGGAGGCCAATGCGTCCATGTGATGTATTCCGCGACATTATCGCGCAGATGATGGATGCTGATAAGCGCAGACCGCTGGATTGAACTGCATCTGCTGCATTCGTCTGCTCAGGATACTTTGGATTCTGTTCAGGAGGTCGCTTCTCATTATACTCGTGCGCAGAAGGCCAAGAACAAGAAGGTCAAATGTGGCACATGCATTGCGCACAACTTCCAAAGCTTTGATTGTACGACGAGAACAGGAAGATGAGTGGACGGATGTCGCAAGCCGTCGCGTCTCTTCACCTATGAGATGTTCTGTTCACGTCGCTCCGCAGCGCCCGCGTCCAATAGGGTACGAACGCTATAATCACCACCTGAGTTGCCCGACTGATGAAGCTGGAGAAGACGCCTAGGTGAGAGGGTGACAATTATGCCGCAGAAGTCCTTCTCTAAGGCACCACCCTTGTCAAAGTTACGTAGCGGCATACACAAGAAACTCTACGGGATTTCCTGCGGAGTAACGCAATTTGCGGGTGCGTGGTCGTCAGTATGGATGCGAAAGGTCATGACAGACCAGAACAGAGTTGAAGGAACACAGTAGGCATTTTCGGCGAGCAGGTGGAACGGGGCGCAACCGCTAGAAGATAGGACCGCAGTCTCATCGTTACGGCATTGTTGAGGGTCTGCTAGCTTCCTCTTCGGAAATCGGACAGGCGTCCGTAACATCGCTATGCGATAGCACATATGTCGGAACAAAGACGTCGAGATTGAGCTAGTGAGGTCGTACAGCTGCTTCTGGGGAGGTGGTGCGACAGTAAATTTGTCGGACCCAGCCGTCTGTCTATGAACTATGTCGGTAAGGTGGCAACTTGTCACAACAAGTCGTATGCCAGTGGCTAGGTGGAACCATAAGAGAGGGCTCCCAGCACCGTTGAACACGTACTGAACAAGCGACATTGACATTGAACATGCAAAGCCAGCTCAGAGACAGCAGAGTATACTTAGGACACTCACACATGTTCTTTAGGTCTGACCGGCCAGATGCTACCTCCCACTCACTCCAACAAGTCTCACTCCGCGGCATAACGTCGGAGTAGCGAAGAATCAACTGCGTATATATAAGTGCTTTCGCGGGATCGTCGTCCGCTTCGCCCGCCCTTCCTCACATGTCGAAGCAGGCAACGTGTGCTCACCATGGCTCAGCTCGCAATATTAAGGATGATCCTCGCCAATTCGGCGCATCTGTCCAAACCGCGTCGCGCAGATCAGGTCAGAAGCAATCGCCGGGGATTAGGCGCGGGGAGAAACAGACCGAGGTGGGCGTGTTATCGACTTACTGATCTACCGCAGCCTGCTCATGGCAATTTAGATAGCTTACCCTCGGACGTCGGATCCGGGAACGTTACCTGCTCGCTGACGTTTTTACAGGATGCGAGGCTAGCAAGTCTACTTCTCGGACTGCCGGGTCGTTGACACGCATCTGGGCTCAGCTATCCGTGAATTCCGACACAAGTTGGCTTGAGATGTACTCGAATGTAAGTCAAAAATGTGTCTCGGCCGAGCAGGGAAGATAGGGCGTTCGGAGCGAGTAGGTTGAGGGGAAGTGGTGGTATTGCTACGTGACGGAACAGGGTACTTCTTTTCAGATGAGTTCAAGTCGAAAGAGCGTCTTTGAGGCCGTTATGTCCATTGTCGTACGTACTCGTTGGGGGACAAATAGGGCGTATAGTTTGGCCACGCCATTGTGAAACATCGTAAGCGACCTAGTCCCATCTCAACGCATGACCCGCTGATGAAAAAATACACATACCTCTCGCTTCAACCCGCATCCAACGAGAACGCAATCCTCGTTGGTAGTGACGCCGGTGGCACGCCTACGCCTCCACTTGTTCAAGATCGATCGAGACCACCACGTCAAGAAGCATCAGCCTCGAGTTCAACTCATGCTGTGAGCCCTTTCATTCACAACGATGCATTTATCAAAGTTCCCCCAGAAGCCGGAATTCTGAAGTGATATAAAGGCTCTACACCAGCAGTTCAAGTCCTCAAGCGCCTCATCGCATCGTCTGTGACCCCGAATACAATACAATGGCCAGTGGATTCATAGACAACGGTATTTGTCAGTTATTCAGAGCCGTCCATTATCCCCTATTATGCTCTGACGTGCTCCTGCAGACTTCATCCAGAACATAGGCACCGGCACCGTCGCAGACCTCGCAAATGGTCTGTCCCAATATATACACTCTTCACCACCAAATTCTAAACGATGCTCCTCCTACCCTCATAGGCTCCTCCGACAACGGTATGTGTCGTCCTTTGGCGTATCCCGCTCCTGTTTGAGTGTCAATCACTATCGCCATTGCCCTAGGTACCAAGGTCCAAGGTTATAGCAAGCGCGAGCTCAACGATCCCTCGGCATCCGCGCAGTTGTGGATCATCACCCGGGTAGAACACGACGAGTATACGATCCGGAACGCAAACAGCTGCAAATACATGGATATCAAGGGAGGCACGTTGTGCTCTGCTTGCCGCTTATCACCCTTTCTCTAACCATTACGATGCGAGGACGTCTGCAGGTAGCACGGTCGATTCGACGCCCGTTGTTGCCTGCCAGGGCACTGGCCACCGGAACCAACGCTGGGCCATCAAGCGCAACGATAAGAAAACGGCGTATGTGTACGCTTGCCTCTCTCCCTCTGCCTCATGGCGCGGCTATTGACAGCCGTTCCCACCATTGACAGCATAGTCAATGTGGGGAGTGGCAGTACGTCCTCTTGTTTGTGGATTCTAGCGAAACCAGTAATCGACACGTGTGCATCGATGCATCTTACCTCGACTATGGCTGGTACGTACCAATCCCTGTATATGATGTCCTATAGCAGCGCTGACGCCGGCAACGTGAATTGTAGGGGAACCGAGAATGGTACGCCTATGCAGATCTGGGCCGGAATCGGTCCGAGCACCGTTCACCCGCTCCAGCTGTGGCACGTTGTTCGTGCTTGAGCACAGGGCCTCATCCGCATCGAGCAATCTATAGCCATCATCCGACGAAATGGTCTGTGTCGTGCTATAATCCAGTCTTCGCTCTACTATCGGTTCTTGAACCACCAAGGAATGACCCAGGATCGTTGCAGGCTGAATCATGCACTGGCTCTGAATTCGTGATAATGTCTTTGCAGACATGACACATCTTTGTGAAGACGCCTGTAATTTGGTCTTATAGGGGTGTCCAGACGACTCCGGGTTCGGATCCTACTAATTTCACAGCAGTAGTAATAGTAACCCGGCGAAGCTCCGCCAGAACCACTATCGTCACTGATCGCTGTGATCTGTCTATATGCAGACTGGAACGGCAACATAAGGACCAAAGCTTGAATGGTTGACACAGAAGCCATAGCCACCCTTAAAAGCTAGGCGTTACCAACCAGAACTGTCGCTCGAGATCGCGGAACGAAGCTTCATGGATCTTCACGAACACTCACGCAAAGCAATAGAAGAGACTGCGCACGGATGTGGCTCGTAGTTTTCCAGAAGGTTGAAGCGTAAGATATGGCTGTATACCGGAAAGTCCGGCATGTGAGCCTTAGAGCGAGCCGATATCAGCATAGATTGTGCGATCCCTTGGAAGGTGTGCACTAGAGCTGGCCTCGCATACGGGTGCCACTTTCCCGACATAGTTCATAGACATACGGCTGGCTCCCCTAAACTTGCTGTTGCACCGACTCCTCCAGAAACCGCTGCACGACCTCACTGGCTCATCCTCAAAGCCCACGTTAAGTTGGCATCTCCGAAAATCTGAGCTCATACTCGTGCCAACCACCCGGTAGTCCGAGAAACAGATTTGTAAGCCTCGCATCCTATCAAAAAGTCAGCGAGTAGATGACTTTGCACGGTGCCGTCCTCCGAGGAGATGCTACTCTATTCAAAGCCAAGTCTTATGCATCTCGGTAGAGCCGGAAAGGTAGGGCGCTCGGGGCGAACTGGTCTGACATCAGTAAACCGTGCATTAGCTTAATGGCTTAGCGCCTTAAGCACTTAGCTCTCCCACGCATATCTTCGAGCTGCTCACCCTCAACTCCGTACAGCGTGCCAAATAATGGAGTGTAGCAGAAAGAGAGACCAAGAGAGGTCAATTGGAGCCTGTACAGACATTATGACAGAGGCCGGCGTGCACGATGATGATGCAGAACGTTTTTGCACTCGCCCATCTTAATCGTCTTAATCCGTCTTAATCGAGCATCTTAACTCTTACGACTTACTGACGCTTAATGCCGTCTTAGGCGTCTTAATGCCCTTAAACACGTGTTTAAGACGTATTAAGTGATTCCCATGTTTACTGATGGAGAAAGTTATGGTAATTGCTCCATGATGAGACAAGGTACCTTCCATGTCTCAGATGTGTTCAGGTGGAGACAGGGAACGATTCGGCGCAAAATACCTGTGGTAGAGACTACAACGAGGTTTGCAAACCTCTGGGGTATCGGGCCAGGGAGGTATCCAACCTCCCAACCCACGCGGTCTTAGTGATACGCGTCGGTTAGCATACCTCGTTGTAGGCTACTCACCTGTGAGGCTTTTCCATCGATGTGATCATTAGGGAACAATAGGGGTATATAACCGATAGCTCATCCACATCATTGGGAGACCATGACGTCGGGGTATAGTCACACTATCTCAACTTGAACGCAGGACCTGATAACGAACACTGTAATATCTCTTTACATACCTCTCGCTCCAATCCGCACCGAACAAGAATACGATCCTGGGGGATAGCGTCGACAATATGCCTCCAATAAAGCAAGATCTATCGAGATGGATATCATGTCAATAAGTATCAGCCTCGAGTTCAAACCATAGAAGGCGCTAGTGGGTTTGCGCTCGTCTGCCCTGGCCCTGCCCCTAGCGACGCTCCTGCCCCTGATGCCTGCGCAAGCGGAGACAACGACGGGGACGTTAGCGCGGGAGAAGACGGAGACGATAGTGTCGTCTGCGAGGGCATTGGGATAGGTGCGAGCGTGAAGGAGTAGTCGTGCGCGGGGGCGTTGCTCTTGATGACGGCAAAGAGCCGAGAGAAGATGGAGGCCTGCCCTTGCTCGGCTGGGGGCGCGATTGGGCGGGGAGTCACAACAAAGTGCGTCACGGCGGACTGTACGGTCGGTTGTGAGATCCGGCGCGCTATCCGTGGGGGCGAGAGCGAGACGGAGTCGAGCTTGGCATGGACCAACTTGGGCGACGGCGGGTTGACTACGACGACGGGGCCTGTTGGGGTTGTAGGTGGGTATGAGTGTGGTTCCCGTTCGCGTTCACGAGGAGCGGTGCCGTCCGTGAGTGTCACGTCAGAGTCGGTGGAGTGTTGCGTGAGTATGGGCGGGCGGGGAGATGGGAGGTTCGTCCGACACGCGAAAGACAGTGCGGCTTCCGTAAAATAAGGAGAGGTTTGTGGAAGGGGGAGGAGGGGTATGGACACTCCGGGGGGAAAGGAGGGCGTCCGGAGACGAATGTACCAGCCGCGCTTCGGACGGTGGACTGTCCAAGCGATCGTCGACGTAGCATTGTCCTGGACAATGCACAGTGCCCATTGAGACATAACGACGTGTCTTGCAAAGATTACACATACCACAATGTGTTCGAGGATTTCATCATCTGTCAGGAACCTTTCCTTCACACATGTGAGTTGGCCTCCTATGTCCATGCCTATTGGAACTCCGCTGTGGCTGCACCCCAAACACTCGCCGCTTTGGGAAGTCCTAGCGCCCAGAATCATGTCAGGTGCTCCCGTCAACACCGCTGCTCACGTTTCACGACCGCACCCCTGTATGGACCGCTCGCTGCAGCTCTGGACTGATAGAGCTCGACGAACAGCAGTGCAGGGTACTCGGCGTCGACCCGGTTTTCTACGTCGCTGTAGCAATGACGTACCTCGAGTTCTTGCAGGAGCGGGAGGTGAGTGTTCCTGTTCTGCTTCGTTGTCATTTCACTGTTCGGCTCCGCCTGCGTTGCCAATCCCCCGGTATTTGAAGCCAAGGTTGTTGGTCGTTGACGTCGCTGTCTTTACAGAGCTATCTGGTTGCGGCGTACGACTGACGGATCGTGGATTGCGTCCCTGGTTGAACGCAGCTCAGAGCAGCTGGTGTGTCATTTCGTCGTGCGGGTCCCGCGTTGGAATTGGAGCAGGATGCTCATGACGCTTCGACAGATACGCTCGAGTGCCCCCTACGCCTATTGTGCCTCGGGGGTCATCCGCATGGTTGCTGTCCTGTAATTTATTTCAGTATCGGAAGGTACCATATCACATTATATTATTTCTCGACTGCTCTACGCCTCCTTCTATCAGGCACATCTCAGAGCCAAGGTTCTGGTTGCAAACACCGATTTCCTGACAAGCCGGCGAGTCACCGTGGATGCTCAGCTTGATACAGGTTGGAAAGCTGGCTGTTTCGTGGCCTGATAGAATTGCGAACCACATCCGCGTACAATCTCGTCTTATTGCTTTGCGCGAGTGCCGTGCGGGACGTACTGCGGATCCCGGCGACGGTGCTGTTCGTTCAAGGGAGGCGATTCTGATTTGATTGTTACTACAACTGTAGCCCAAATTGTGCGGCCTGCGCTATTATCGTCTATGTGAGTCTCAGGCTGAGCGTGGGAGTGGTTTAAGCACCTCAACACTGCGATGCTTTGCAGACAGGTCAGAGCGCTCTTCTAGTTCGCTCATTCTTTATGTTCACATATCACATTGACGACGACCATTGTTACGAAGCCAGTACATGATTTATCGTGCTACAATCTCAGGTCGTTTCTCGGCGGTTCAATAACCCACAATACAGCGGAGCCCGGAATCCGGCACGGCACAAGACCGTGTTGTGGGGCGACACACGAGTTGGACTTGTGGAGTCACCATGCCCCTTATGCACGGACAATGAGCCACATCTGGTCCTCGTTATTCGTACTGTCGCCTTCGCCAGAGTGGATTTGTATTTCCTTGTCCTCAGTACGACTACCGCAGATTCAAGACATGTCAGGAGTCAGCAAAACCATGAGACAACAGACAAATGGACGTTGCGTACCTGTCACCCTGAAGCTCGACGTAGAGTTCTGTGCCCATGCACAGCTGTCAGTTGCACATCATGCTATAATTCAATAAGGGGGTCAAATGGGACGTACTGGTATTCTCCTTGTTGGCGATGCTGTCACAGATCCATGCCTATGTCAGTAGTGCCACATTGTACGGTGAAAAGAGGTGCAGGCGTACACGTAGCTGAAGGCCCACAAGCCCCACCTGACATGTGCAGCGATTGTCCAGTAGTACGTCTTGACTAACCTGGGGTAGGAGTCCATCATTGCTCGAACGTACATCTCGCTTCCAATGGAGTGTCATTATTGACAGCTTGCGGACTCGGGCTCACAGTCTGCCCCTTGTGCGATGACACTATTGCCGGTGAGACTCCTGGCAATTCAGACTCATGTTTTCCATCTGCAGCAATATAACATCTGGATGTGTACTGTGCTTACTGACTCTTATGGCTGATGGGGCTGTCCATCGGACATGGCAACTCTCAGAAGGGCGAGACGAACACACGACATGCGCGGGCAGCTGACCCACGAGCACGAACACTTCGGAAGAAGTCTAGTCCCGGTTTAGCTGACAAGTTTGTGAGGTGAAGGGGTGGCTAAAAGAGAAGCCGGGATCTTGTATTCGATTCTTTCTTGTTATTAACTAATAATTTACACAGGAAACTCGGGGTCAGGAGGGATATAAAGCCTGTGCACTGACACCTCAGGACCTCAGAATCCAACGCTCTCACCTCGCATCGCATCTACTTTCACTTCCATCCAAGTTCAACCTCACAACCATGGCTGCTCCGATCATTGAGAACGGTGTCTGTCAGTCTGAGTCTTACTTCACTCTCCCTTGTCCTCAATATCAGGCTGACATGCCGCCACAGGCTTCATCCAAAACTTCGGCACGGGTCACGTTCTTGACCTCAAGGATGGTCCGTCTTCACTCTCGACCTTTTCATACTAACCCCACTCATCGTGCTCCTTGTAAAATATAGGATCCATCCATGACAGTATGCAATGTTTTCGTGCAGCACACTCATTCAACCGCTAATTCTTCTCCCTGCTCTCGCTAGATACCAACATCCTGGGCGTTGCTAAGCGAGATCTAAACGATGGCTATGTGTCCTCAGAACTGTGGA